AAGTTTTTAGTTACAATACGAAACAAAACAAAAAAGCCACAAATCCAGGCACTTTTCAGTTCATTGGTGGGAATAGGCAGGTCACATTAAATCAAGGAAAACTATGGGCCTTAGATGCTGTCTGGAACATTCTTAGCTGCTGGGTTGTTAGAAGCCAATGGTCTGTCAAGTAAATGCATTCCAAAGGTTCTACCTCATAATCATAGGATGCCAGGTCAGCTGGGATGAGTGGCTAGCTGGGGACTAGGGATAGCCCCAAAGATTGTTTCTAGATCTGTAACATTCCATCTCAACCAACATTTAAAATTATTTTAACGGGGGTGGGGGTGGGTGGGTGACCTTTCCTGGGAACTTTAGCTCACATAGTTGTTTGAGGCAAGGTCTCACTGAGTTGACCACGCTGACCTGGAACTTCCTATTCTTTTGCCTCAGCCTCCTAAGTGGTTGTTATAGGCCTGTGCCACCAGTCCTGACTGTATTTGGGTTTTGGTAGTGTAGGGATAGGTGGGCTTATTATAAAGTGGGATACCCTCAAGTGGTTTTTGTTGTTGTTTTGGAAAGAGTTTTACTACATAGCCCAGGTTGGCCCTGAAATTCTGGTCTTCATGCATAAGTCTGCAAAGTACTTAGGGTACAAGTGTTCCCCAGCATGCCTGGCTTTGAACACTTTTAAGATTTATTTTTTATTTTTATTTTTAAATTGTGTGTGTGTTGGAAGTACTGGTGAGTGCAGATGCCTTCAGAGGCCAGAGGCATGGAATCCCTGGGGTGCTGGAGTTACAGGAGCTGTCCCTTCAAGTCTGTGGTCTTAACTGCTGAGCCATCTTTCCCACCCCAAACAGTGTTTGTACCACAGGGTGTGGTGGTTTACCATAGAGAGTTCTAGGCTAGCTGGGCTGCGCAGCAAGACCCCTTTTCTAAAATAAATGAATGAAGTCACTGTCATTAAGTTATCGGTTACATTTTTTTTTATTTCTTAAAAGTATTTTTAGAACATGTATTAATATCTTTTTGTTAAAAGTTATTAAAATCTTTTCATGTTCAAAAATGAGGTATTCTAGACTTAAAAACTAACATTCTTGAGGACAATTTATCTTCAGGTGTCAGGAGGGTGTGCTCTCATAGAGTGTGTTGGAAATTAGGAAAATCGATGGTTCTGGTTCTGTCAGGGGCAGTATTTAGGCTGTTGTTTTGATAAAACCCGGTTGCTCTGATGTGACTGGAGAACACTTGCTCCTTTGGAGTGTACTTGCAGGGAAAGAAATGGGGCCTGGGTGAGAACGCACCATACTGGCTGGAATTGGTTTTGTACATGATCATCTGTGGTTTGGACAGTGAGGTGGTTGTGTGGAGTGTCTTAGGATCCAACATACAGGAAAACACAGGGTTGCCAGGGTTCACACATGGAGTCGGTGGTTCACATTTCATTTCTTCATCTGAAGTCAAAGTACTTTTCTTATCCTAAAGGGCACATAAAACCATCCTCAGTTATGCAGGAGCAGACTTAGGCCTATTCCCCTCACCCTTCACCTTTTCATAGCCTCTTTTCTTAGCATGCCTTCCTTCCTTTCCTCCTCCTCCTCCTCCTCCTCCTCCTCCTCCTCCTCCTCCTCCTCCTTCTCTCTCTCTCTCTCTCTCTCTCTCTCTCTCTCTCTCTCTCTCTCTCTCTCTCTCTCTCTCTCTCTCTCTCTCTCTGTAACTGCAGATGACCATGAACTTTTGACCATCTTGCCTTCAACCTTCCAAGCATTAGCATCATTTCATGGGCCATCATATCTGGCTACATTTTACTTAATCTTTTAAATCCTTTGGCCACTGAAACTTAAAAAGCCACCGAATTACAGACTTTGCTGTGAAGTCATCTATCGAGGCCTCTGTCCCGAGCAGCCCTGGCCCATCCAACATGTACGCTGCTGTCCTTCTCTTACACGGCTCTCCCCTTCTCTTAGTATCTGTGGTGCCACCTACAAAACCTGAATTGGTTTCCTAATAACTCCAGCCTAGATTTATACTTAATGGCCGAATCTGTTTTCTTCAGTCAATAATCTTTTTCACCCAAGAGCCTTCTGGAAAGCACTCATGCTGCTTAATATGGTAGAGGGGTGCTGTCTACCAGTGTTGCTGACACTCCATCATTTCCTTTGTGGTTCTTTGAAACACAATCTCATTCTGTAGCCCAGACTGGCTTTGAATTCAAGGAACTACATCTGCCTCAGCTTCCTGAGTGCTGGTGTGGCAGGCTTGTGCCACCATGCTTGGCTGTGAAATTCCTGTAGTAGCTCCATCACATTTTTACCTACACAGTTAAAAATGAGGCCGTAGCATAGTGTGGTTTACTACTGTGAACTGATGTTCTCTAAAGAGGTACTGCTGTGGGATGGTCTGTATGTCAAATTGCTCTGATTGGTCAATAAATAAAACATTGATTGGCCAGTGGCTAGGCAGGAAGTATAGGCGGGACTAACAGAGAGGAGAAAAGAAAGAACAGGAAGGCAGACGGAGACACTGCTAGCTGCCACCATGACAAGCAGCATGTGAAGATGCCGGTAAGCCACGAGCCATGTGGCAAGGTATAGATTTATAGAAATGGATTAATTTAAGATATAAGAACAGTTAGCAAGAAGCCTGGCACGGCCATACAGTTTGTAAGCAATATAAGTCTCGGTGTTTACTTGGTTGGGTCTGAGCGGCTGTGGGACTGGCAGGTGAGAGAGATTTGTCCTGACTGTGGGCCAGGCAGGAAAAGTCTAGCTACAAGGTACTGGGGTTACAGAGTTAGCCACCATTCCTGGCTGGTTTTCTTACTTTACTGATAATCATAAGGCAGAGTTGGCTCTGGTGTAGCACATGTACACCCTTTAATCGCAGCACATGGAGGGCAGAGGCAGGCAGAACTCTGAGTTCAAGGCCAGCCTGGTCTACAGAGCAAGCTCCAGACAGCCAAGGATGGCTACATAGAGAAGCCCTGCTTAGGATAACAAAAACAAAAATTTGCAAATTAAGGGGCTGAGGATGTGGCTTAGTTGGTAGCATACTTGCCTAACAGATATATAAAGAGACCCTGGGGTCTATCCGCAGTACCACATGAACTGGGCATGACAGGTCGTCCTACCTGTAATCCCACAGAAGATCAGAAGGGTCATCCAAAGTTACAAAAGGAGATAGAGGCCATCCTCAGATACAGGAGGCTCTGTCTCAGAAAAAAAAACAAAACCCTAGAAATTGGAATACTACAAGAGTGGTGTAAGGAAGAAACTTCCATCTAGATGTGACCCACTTAAAAATGGTTAAAAACATCACCAAAACACAAACCACAGATTTTGGGCTCACTTGAAGGAAAATTGAATATAAACATTAAAATGCTGGATAAATGGATTTTTTTGAGACAGGTCCCAATAATTACTTGTCCCCAAACTCCTGGCAATCCTCCTGCCTTAGCCTCTATAGTGCTGGGATTCTAGGTCTGGGCTCTCATTGGTTATTACTATCCACTTAAGTTATTGAGGGCTCCAGTTTTCATCAACGCACCCTTGCTACTACTGACACTAAAACTCAATCCCCTTCAGCTCCAGATTTAATAATTTTTTTTAAAAGTCACTTCAAATAATGCAAATCACTGGATGATTTATCTACTATCAAATCAGGGGATGATGCTATCGACTTACATCTTTTAGATCTCCATTGTAACTGAAGATACTTATAGCCAATCAAAGTAACCACCACTTTACCCTACTCACTGTAAAGGCAGCTTTGTTATTTGAATTTTAGCCTCTTCAAGGGGTTCTAAGAGCAGGGTGTGGTGGCTTAGGCCTGTAATCCCAATACTTGGGAAGTAGGGGCAAGATGTTATGGAGTTCAGTGTCAGCTGCACAGAGAATGTGAGGTCAGCTTGAGTTATACTGAGAAGCTCTGTCAAAAAACAAACAAACAAAACAAAACAAAACAAAAAAAAAAAACACCCAAAACTACTCTCACCCAAACAAAAACAAGGGGTTGGGGATATATCTCCTTGGCAGAGTGCTTTCCTAATTTGTGTGAGGCTTGAGGTTCAGTCCCTGGTTGCAGCAACACAAATATCAGGTCTAATTGTGAAACCAGTTTTTGCCCAACATCAGCTACTTGAATGGCTTCCTTTATTATTTACTCATTAGCTAGGTAAGGGATGGAGGAAAGTTAGCTTTCCTCTGGTGTGAGTGCACTGCGTTCCCCCTCCCCGATCCTTGTAGACAGGGCACACAATAAAGGATATTAAAATCAAGCTATGTTCCCCTAGCTTGGGAATGTAGTTCTGTAGTTAAGCGGTTGCCTATCATTCACAAGGCCCTGGATGAGATCCCTACTGAGTGCAAACAGACAAACAACAACAACAACAACAACAAAAACAAAACCTTCCTGGTCAAAACCACCACCAGTTTGTAGCCTTTACACCTTCAGAGCAATAATTACTTAGTGGATCGTGCGTTTACACTTGTAAATGTAAACGCCTGGTGACTAACTAGGTGAGTGAGTGGGAGTAGATGGTGCCTCAAACACTATCAAAGAATTTGACTTTCAAAAGCGTCTAAGCCTTCCGCCCAAACCCACCAAGCCGCAGTCGGTCTGACACTCCATCTTCTAAATCTCTTCTGCAAAAGCAGTTCTTTCCTGATGGCGAGAAGTCTGGCGAGGGCGCAGGGTCCGGTCTTCTCACCGAACCGACGGAAAGCCGCAGCCAGGACAAAGCCAGAACGATTCCTGACGCGTAAACTGCCAGATCTGGGGAGTGAGAGAATGGGTGGAAATCTTCAGTCTTCTAGTGTGGTAGCCGGTCTCCATGGCAACCGGCTGCAGGCGTGGGAGCCCGGATGTTGTGGGGATCCGCGGTTGCCCCGCCCAGCTTCCGGCAGCCTCAGGGAGGCGGGCCGCACGGGTCTTTGGGAGTCGTAGTTCTTACTTCCCGCCGCTGGCCGGCGGGAGGCTCAGGGGGAACTACAAGTCTCGGCATGCCTCGCGGCGCCGCGCCAGCCGCCGCTTCCCCGTTGCGGACGCCCGCGAGCGGGTTGTTGTTTTTATGAGGCGTCACTGGCGTCTAGAGCCCGGACGCCGCCACGGTGACAGCCGGCGCGGTCGGGCGGAGGAGGCGCTGCCTTCAGGTAGGTTCCCCGGGGCGCAGGTCCGGAGGATGGGGCGTCCGCGGACTGCAGCTCGTGCCTTCGGGCGCAGCGCCGGAAGGCTGTCTTCTGGCGGTCCTCACGCGCTCGGGCGACCTCGGGTGGAGGGCGCGACCCGGCGGGCGTGAGGCGCGGGCTTGCAGGCTGCAGCACCCCCCGCGAGCTCCGAGCTGGGCGCTCTGGGATTCGGGTGCGGCCGCATCCATATGCTGAGATGCCGCGTGCGTCACCCTGCGGCCGCCCTGGAGTCCCAGGTGTCAGGAATAGGAAAGTGCCTGCGTGCAGCCCGGAGATGTGCTCCTAGTCAGCCCCAAAGCCGTCCTGCCCCGCCACCCCCCTTTTCTCTTCCTGTTCTTCACCCTTCCCGTCCGGGGCCTCCCCAGCGTTGGTCAGGCTCGCGGGCTTGTCCTCAGTAGCAGCTGCGAGTGTGCTGTACGTGTTTACCTTTCTTTGGTCCCACCTCTGCCAGGGGCAGCGCTGGAGTTCTAGACCTCAGCTAGTTGGGCTGTTCTGTTGAGGGGTGAATTGTGCACCGCACTCCCCCACGTCTGCTTTCTTAACCATATGGAGCTGCTTGTACCCAGGAGGGGCCACCAATTTATTACTCTCAATTAGTGCTTTGCGTCTTCTAGCAAGGTCACATAATTCTTGAAATGTCAGCACTAACTAGACAGTCTTAAAGCCCCTTTGGTTTTTCTGAGGTAGGGTTTCTCTTGTAGCTCTGGCTGACCTAGAACTCGCTCTGTAAGCCAGGCTGGCCTTGAACTCAGAGATCTGCCTGCCTCTGACACCTGAGCTGGGGATTAAAGGCGTGTGCCACCAACGCTCAGCTTTAAGGTCCCAATCTTAATAGGCCTCAGATTTCTTATCACGTGTAGCTGGTTTGAATAGTTTACTATTCTGACAACTCGAGTCACAGGGGGCCTGCGGAAGTTGTGAGGTGAGTTAATGCTGGCAAGTGCTTTTGCCTTTTTTCTTGCTGTGTACCTCAGTCTGTCCTGATACTACTTACAAAGCCCAGGACATAGTAAGTTCTCTTGCCTAAGCCTCCTAAGCACAGTGGTCACGTTGAGTCCCACCAAGCCCTGCTGTTAATGCTGTTTTAACCCCTCTTACACTAAAGTTGGAATTCCAGTCAACGGTGGCACCCCAGACATTTGGAATCTGAAGCAGGAGGATGTCAAGTTTGAGACCAACCTGGGCAGTATAGGGAGACCATATTCCCAAATAAAAAGGTCTGAGAATGTAAGTTTTTTGGTACAGTGCTTGTTTAATGTATGTGAGGCCCTGGGTTCAATCCCCAGAATGATTACAAACAAACCCTAGAACCAGTTTTGTGGTCTAAAGCAAAGAACAGACACTTATATTTGCATTGGAAATAGAGTTCAAGGGCTATTTAGTTTGAAAGTGATTTTCAAGGGTGTGAAACTAAGCTGACTTCGTGTTTTACTGTATTTTCTGTAGTGGGGGAAATGCAGGCATTTTTTTTTCCTAGGGCATTTTGTTTTTAGATTTATTTTTGTGTGTTTTGCTTCTGGGTTTGTAAGGATAGCATGTGTGTGCAATGCCAGGCCATCTGATGTGAGTGCTGGAACTGAATCTCTAATATTTGCTCTTAACCATCTCTTCAGCCCTGGAATCTACAGTTGGCTATGTAGCCTTGAATTTTTTGTGGGGAGGGGGAGTGGAGTTGCGCCAGGGTTTCTCTCTAGTCTTGGAACTGCTCTGTAGACCAGGCTGGCCTTGAACTCACAGAGATCCACCTCTCTGCCTCCAAGTGCTGGGATTAAGGTGTGTGCCACCGCACCCACCTGTTTGTTTACTGTGTCCAAGGACTGGGGCTTTGTTGTAGATTTCCTGCCTTAGACTCCTGAGTGCAGCTGTGAGCCAGCCTGAGCTCTTCTTATCTGCGAAGCCTTTGTTCCTTTTTTTTTTTTTTTTTTTTTTTTAAGACAGTGTTTCTCTGTTTAGACCTTGCTGTCCTAGAACTCGCTTTGTAGACCAGGTTGGCCTCTGCCTCCGAGTGCTGGGATCAAATGCGTGCGCCACCACCGCCCAGCCCTTTGTTGCTTTTTAGATAGTAGTATTTATAATCTTTTTTCTTAGGTTGTCTTGGGAGCTTTCCTCCCACATTTCAGTTTCTTTTCAATATTTTCTGTCTTATAGTTGTGTGTTTTGTGTTGGTTTGTTAGCTGTCTTGTGGGTGCTGGAAATCAAATCCAGGTCCTCTGGAAGAACAGTCAGTGCTTTTAACCACTGAGTCATCTCTCCAGCCTGTTTTGTGTTGGTTTAGGTGTGATTAGGCTTTGGGGCCATTCACAGGGTATAAAACATTTGTTCTAGATTAATGTGTCTGAGTTGCCAGATTCCACAGTATTGCTATCTAGGTGAAATTGTATTTTTAACTAACTTTAAACTATTTGAATATGAATTGTAAAAGCCCTTAAGTTGTGGTTTGGAAAATGTCAAAAAGCTGGCCTTCCTGGCCATCACTGCCCTTTCTCTAAAGGTCTTTATTCCTAGTAACAATCAGATTTGACTAGATTAAGGCAAGTAAATAGGTTGGTTTAAGTATTTAGCATTTGCCTTATGCAGTTAAATGGTACCAAATCATCATCAGGTTTGAGTTCAGAGATGTAGTTTAGTCCTGTGACATGGAAGGATTTCGTGCAACTAATATGCTTTGGAGTTTTTGTTTTGTTTCATATGGGTTTTTAGGAAGGGTATTAACTGTGTGAAAAGCTGTTGAGTCAGCAGGGTTTTCTGTGGCCTTCAGTAACGTGAGTTGCAGGTTTTCCTCTTTGATTATGAGAATACGGTCTGATTTTCCTTAGGACTTGTCACCGACTTACTCAACTCTTCCTTGAGTTCATATTGCCAGTGAGCTCCAGCGAGCCTTGCAGAGGAAAACAGTGTTCAATGATGAGCAAGTAACTGAGATTCCAAGTATTCCCATGGATAAGTTGGAAGTAACAGCTGTGCACCTTCAAGGTGGATTTGTGAAGATGGAATTGGATATGCAAATGAAATCACAATGACAGATTTATCTCTGTAATATTGGCATGTAAGTGACATGTGAAACTTAGTACACATTGGTAGTGTGATGACAGTGCCGTGCCTATTTTTTAGTGCATAATTTTGGTGAAGAAATATCCAGGGCTTCATTTGTATTCTTGGTAGAGCTGGGTAGCGTGCTCCAGTTTGATGGCCAGTTCGTTCCATTCCTCACTGTGATTTGCTCTTCTGTACTGAAAGACCTGGGATTGTAAAACAGTGCCTCTGTGGTTGGGTCCTTCATGTTTGTCTCGGTCTCACAGTTAAAGTGTTGAGGTCCTTAGTTTGATTTCACAGGAAGTGGCTTCTTTTTGATGTTGCCCTCGTGAGCAGCACGACTACATTGAGTCTGAACTCTGGCAGATGTGAGAGCCCTGGGTGGGGTGGAGATGCCTCCTCCTGGGACAGTCTGCTGTTGCCTTTGGCATCTGACTCTGAGGCTGACCTCAAGTTCGGGTGACATAGAGCATTAACGTAAAGCAGTGTTTAGAAATTTCTAAGTTCATTTGAAGGGCTGTATCGCAGTAATACAGGTAGGTGCAGGTAATAGTTGTGTAAAATGTACTGTGGGTGGTAGTAGGCAGCTCCGGTGGATCCTCGTCATACCCTAGTGCTACTAGATCACAGTGGATGCCTTTCTCCCTGTAATCAGGTATAAACACCAACACATGGCAACAGAATGTATAGAGAAAACCTTATATTACCAGCTTTGCTTTCCAAATAGATGATAACTAAGAAAATTATAGGAAATTATCATTTTGTGAGAGTATTTAGAAGAACTAAAAAAAAATTTGTGTGTGTTTGTGAGTGAGAGAGAGAGAGAGAGAGAGAGAGAGAGAGAGAGAGCAAGAGAGCAAGAGCACGTGAGCGAGCAATCGCTATTGAGATAGGAAACAAAGTCAGAACCAGATTTCTAAAATGATGAAGCCACCACGACTCAGTGCATTTTGTAGCCTACTCATCTTAGGTATTTCACTTTAAAAGGGGGATTTATTTTACTGTGTGTTCCTGTGTCTGGGTATATGTGCAGGTGAGTTCAGGTACCTATGGACACCAGAGGTGTTGGATTTTACTGTGTGTTCCTATCTATGTCTGGGTATATGTGCAGGTGAGTTCAGGTACCCGTGGACACCAGAGGTGTTGGATCCCTCAGAAACTAGAGCACAAGCAGTTTTTGTGAGCCACCTGTTGTGGGTTCTGGGTACTGAATTTGGGTCCTGGAAGAAAGAACAGTACCAAGCTATCTTTCCAGCCTCATTCTAACCCTGCAAATAACTAATGAAAGAAGAACCTCTCTCCTATGGGTATCTGAATCGTTGTTTTCACACTTTTTAAAAAGTTGCAGCATTAGATTGAGGCAAAAGGACTGTTTACTTCCGATATCTCAGAGTGGTTTTCTCTTCCTGATTTGCAGAGTGTTACATCATAGAAGGAAACTTACAAATGGTGTCTTGCCTCACTTCTCTTACAGAACTGATGTTCTAGATGAAAAGGTGCATTTAGTGTATGTAGCAGTAGTACATAGATGGAGTGAATTTATTCCTCTGCCTTTATTACAATATTAGAAATTACAATATTAGAAATATTGTAATTGATTTTATTTTTAGGGGTAGAGTTTCGTAGCTCAGGTTAGCTTCCAGCCTCACTACATAGAGTAGGTTGGCCTTGAACTTTTTTTTTCTCCAACAAATGAATATTTTTATTTATTTATTTATTTTGGTTTTTCGAGACAGGGTTTCTCTGTAGCTTTGCCTTTCCTGGGACTCACTTGGTAGCCCAGGCTGGCCTTGAACTCACAGAGATCCACCTGGCTCTGCTTCCCCAAGTGCTGGGATTAAAGGCGTGCGCCGCCGCCGCCGCCGCCGCCGCCGCCGCCGCCGCCGCCCCGCCGCCACCGCCACCACCACCACCACCACCACCGGGCTGGCCTTGAACTTCTGATCCTCTTGGCCTTGCCTCTCTTGTGCTGGGACTTGTGTGTTACCACACTCAGATTTTTTTGAAGACAGGGTTTTGCTCTGTAGCCAGGCTGGCCTGGAGCTCGTGGGTAATCTTACTGCCTCTGCTTTCCCGAGTGCTGGGATTAGAGTGTGCCTTCCACGCCTGGCTGACATTATTTTTAGTGACTGTTCCTACCTCATTTCAACTAGGAGAGAGCCTACTGATTGCAGAGGGCTGTCTTTGTACTCCCTGACAGGAGTGATGTAACCAAAGACTCTACAAGACCTCATAGCCTGTACAGTGTGGACTCAGTTCACTGGAAACCCAGTAGTTAACACTTCAGGGGTAGCACATTAACTTCTGACACATTGATTTCTTGAACTTTTCAAGGAGAAACTGCTCTTGTCAGAGATGATGGATTTGTGTCTCTTTTTCACTGTGCTTAAAACTGGTTTTATTGTTTTGAGACAGGTTGTCACCGAGTAACTCCTGCCTAGAACTTGCCACATAAACCAGGCTGGCCTCAAATTCAGTGGTCTACCTGTCCGCTGGGATTAAAGACATGCATCCCCACACACCTTTAATTGTGTTGTGTATGTGACTTATTTACTTGCTATGAAGAGACACCATGACCAGCATAACTTAAAAACAGGAGATTATTGGGACTCACAGTCCCGGGGGTCAGAGTCTATGATCATCATGGTGGGAGCATGGCATCAAGCAAGCAGGAGCAGTGCTGGAGAAGTAGCTGAGAGAAAGAGTGAGCACTGACTGGGAATGGTTCCACAACTGGGGACCAAGCATTGCGTTCATGTGCAGCTGGAGTTACAGTATGCACTCTTAACTGATGGGCCATCCTTCCAGCCCCTTTTCTTTGACGGCATAGGCTAGCCTCAGCCAACATGTAATCGTAAATGTCTTGGAACTCAATATCTCTTGTCTCAGATTTCAAGTAATTGGGATTACAGGCTTGGATTACTTAGGCATGAAGATTTGAGGGTTTTGTATAGAATAGTCTTTTTTAAGGCCAGGCATGGTGGCTCAAATCTGTAGTCCTTGAATGGGAAAGTCTGAGTCAGGAAGATAGAAAGTTCAAGACTTGCCTGGGTTACAGAATAATTTCCAGGTCAGCCTGGTTAAGTTAGTGAGGCCCTGTATCAAAGTAAAAACCACTGGGCCGTACCTCAGTGGTAAAGTGCTTGCCTAGCATGTATATACCTAACATGTATAAGGAAGGCCTTAGTGTTGGTTAAATCGGCGCTGCTCGGGCGGCCATGCCAGTGGAGGAGAGTACTGATCGGAAGAATCACAAGTCATGTTACCTTTTTAGAGCTTTATTGGGGGAGAAGGAGAGGAGGGGGCACACAGACGGAAGGAGAGAGCGGAAAGAGAAAAGGGCGCACAGAGGGCCCACCCACTTTTTAGGCTGGGACACCGTCGCAGGATGGTGGCGTAATTAAGGACAGAATCCTTACACTTAGTACTGACAAACAGGCCCACAGACTGAGTGTGATGATGATGAAAACACCTCCATTTTCTTTATTGTCCCAAACAGGGACAATAGTGTAGCCCTGGCTGTCCTGGAACTCACTCTGTAGACCAGGCTGGCCTTGTACTCAGAGATGTGTCTGCCTCTGCCTCCCAGGTGCTGGGATTAAAGCCATGTGTCACCACACCCAGCACTGAAAAAGAGGAGGTGCTAGAGATTGTTCAGTGGTTGAGAGCTCTTGCTGCTCATGGAGAGGACCCAAGTTCCATTCCTAGTACCACATGGTGGCTCATAACCATCTGTAACTCGGTTCTAGGAGATCCAACACCTTGTGACCTCCACGGACACCAAGCCTGCATGTGAGACGCATACGTGCAGGCAAGATACACATACAAAAATATTTTAAGAGGATTTTCAGAAGGAAAAAAAAAACCTCACGAAACTACTCAGGCTGATCTTGAACTTAAACTTATAGCCTAAGTTGGCCATAAACTTCCTGTTCTTGTGTCCCAGCGTTCTGGATAGCTGGAATTACAGGTCTGTGCTTAGAATCAGATTCTGGACAGTGACCAAGGTGGATTCTTCATGGATAGCCTGGCAGCACTTGGCGTTTACCTACCTCAGTCTGTGGTCTGCTTGGAATCACAGAACTGTGAGATAATAGTGCCCCCATTCTTCTCCCTCATGTCTAATTCTAGAAGATAAGGAAATGAAAACCCTGCCTTCTTCATAGTAAAATGTAGCTTCTTAGGAACGATGTAGTGGGGTGTCATCATACCAGGTAACTGTTGTAGTTAATGGGAAAAATGAATAGCGTTGTTTATGTGCTATTCTTTGTTTTTCAAGACTGGGTCTCAATGTGTTGCTCTGGCTGTCCTGGAACTCTCTGTAGACCAGGCTGGCCTCAAGCTCACAGAGATCCACCTGCCTCTGCCTTTTGAGTGCTGGGATTAAAGGCCTGGGCTACCAAGACAGTTCTTAATGAAGGACAGTGCACAGAAGGAAGTCGTCTAGCTTTGAAGCTCTGAGAACACCAGTGGAATTTATGGAGGCTGATGGTTAAGGGGCCTGCCTGCCTCCCCCTTCTGTCTTCCACTCTTTCTTTCTTTCCCTCCCTCCCCTTTTGGAGTATCTTGCTGTCTATCCTAGGCTGGCTTACAGTTGGCAGCCCTCCTGCCTCAGCTTTCCTAGTGCTGACTCCTGGGATTGAAGAGTGCCTTGTACTTGCTGTCCAGGAGTCTTGGGAAGGTCATTGCAAACTAGCTATTCTTAGAGTAGAACAGAGGGTGGGGCGACTTCTGACTTATAAAGGAGTGTCTTGCATACCAGGTTGGCCTGGAACTTACTGTGTAGCTGAGTGACCTTGAACTTCTGATCCTCTGTCTACCTCAAGTGCTAGAATTATAGGTGGGTGTCAACATGCTTAAAATCAGTTCCAGCTAGGCATGCTTCCATCTGAGCTATGTCCTCGCGCCTGGATGCAGTTTTCTTGGAACCACAGCCTTCAGGTTGGATCTGACACTTTCATAGTGTCTGCATTGCAGAAGCTAGTTAATGAGGTGGATTCTCAAAGCATGGCATGGTTTTGCAAGCCGGTAATCCTAGCGTTCTGGAGACAGGTAGGGGAACTGAAAGTTCAAAACTAGCCTGTGCTAGCTAGTGTAGGGTAAAAGTATGAAAACTTGGCCTTAGCTTAGGCTTGTTCCCAACTAGCTCTTACAACTTAAATTAACCCATTTATATTAATCTATGTTCTACCATATGGCTTGTTACCTCTTCTCTATACTGTACATCTGACTCCCTCCATGCTTCCATGGCCAATCCTGCCTGTCTTCTTCCCAGAGTTCCTATCTCTTCTAGAAGTCCCACTTATCCTTTCCTAATTATCTATTGGCCACTCAGCTCTACTTAACCAATCAGAAAAGTGCCTTGGCAGAGACACCTCTTCACAGTGTACAAAAAGGCTATCTCACAGCAGGTTTCAGACATTCTTTGCCTTTCGGATCTAATTTCTGTTGGTTGCAGCAGCACAGCTGTGCAGGTTGCCTTGGCTCAGTAGGGCTCCCCCATCTTAGCAGTCTGGTTTATTCTCACAGGTGTGCGACGGTCATATGCCCAGGGTGGAAACCTGTGGGGGTGTCTCAGTTTCACCTGGACGTTTTTATGCTGTGTCATGCGGAGCTTTTACAGACATTTAAAAAATGTGTCCCAGGCTGGAGAGATGGCTCAGAGGTTAAGAGCACTGGCTGCTCTTCCAGAGGTCCTGAGTTCAATTCCCAGCAACCACATGGTGGCTCACAACCATCTGTAATGAGATCTGGCGCCCTCTTTTGGCATGTAGGCAGACATGAAGGTAGAACACTATACATAATAAATACATCTTTAAAAATAAATAATAATGTGTCCCATGTTTTACTGTATGTTCTTGTATTTATAGGACTGAAAAATGTCTGAAAATTCCAGCGACAGTGACTCATCTTGTGGTTGGACTGTCATCAATCATGAGGTATGTTCTCTGGTACGTTGTTAGCAGTGACAGAAACTGCTTCGTGGAGGTCAGTGTTTTCTACATGTAAGCCATGGGTTCCTTGTGTATAGTGTAGGCATTTCCCAACCATATTAAACTTGGCTGCTAAATTACTGCTGAGCTACATACAGCCCTAGTCTTTTTTTTTTTTTTAAACAAAACTTTGAGATAGGGTCTTCATAAGTTGCCCTAGATGGCCTTGGAATCTGTTTGTGGCTCAGGCTGATCGTCTTGAACTTGGGATCCTTCTCAGCCTCCTCAAGAGCTGGGATGACAGGCCTGTGCCAGCACACCTAGGGCTTTGGGTTTTTGTTGTTTGTTGTTTTTTTGTTTGTTTTGAGGCATTAGAGTCTCACTCTGTAGTTCTGACTGGCCAAAATTGGCCTGAATTCACAGCAGCCCTTCCATGTACAGGGGTTATAGATGTGTGCTAGTATGGCGGGCTGTTGTTTTGTTTTGAGAAAGTCTCCTTCCGTCATAAAGGCTGGCTGGAAACTCAAGGCAGCCTTCCTGCTTTAGCCTCCAGGTGGATTAGAGGCATGAACCATATCCAGCCTCTCTTTTGCTTTTTTCTTAAATGAAATTTTCAGGATTTAAGAAAAAGTATGTATTTAGATTTACAGGTGTAGAGGACAATAGTTGTTCATAATCAACAGGAAGAACTTCGCTAGAGAGTAGCATCCCGGATTTTGGATACCCTGCTGAATACTGCAGTCCAGCATCTTCTGCATTATTCTAGCTGACGTTCCTTAACTTTTTTTGTTTTTGTTGTTTGTTTGTTTGTTTGTTTTTTGAGACAGGGTTTCTCCGAGTAGCTCTGGTTGTTCTGACACTCATTTTGTAGAACAGGCTGGCCTCGAACATCCCACTCCTGGTACCAACTTCTGTGTTAGGGTTTCTTTTGCTATGAAGAGACACCATGACCATGGCAACTCTTATAAAGGAAAATATTTAATAGAGCTGGCTTACAGTTTCAGAAGTTTAGTCTGTTACTGTCATGGTGGGAAGCAGGACAGTGTGCAGGCAGACATGGTACTGGAGAAGGAGCTGAGAGTTCTACATCTTGATCCACTGGCAGTAGGGGTCTGGAGAGATAGCTCAGCAGTTTAGAACATGGCTGCTCCTCCTAATAGTACCACTCCCTATGGGCCAAGCATTCAAACACATGAGTCTATGGGGGCCATAATCCATTCAAACTACCACATTCTACTTCTGGCCCCCATAGGCTTGTAGCCATAATATAATGCAAACTGCAAAGGCCAGAGGATGGTGTCAGATTCTCTGGGACTGGAGATACAGATAGTCGTGAGCCACCATGTGGGTGCTGGGAACTGAACCTGGTCTCTGGAAGAGCAGCCAGTGTTCTAAACTGCTGAGCTATCTCTCCAGCCCCATCAGCCTTAATTTTTTTCTTTTTTCTTTTACTGTTTTAGGAGACGGGGTATAGTTGTGGCTGATATGGAGCTTACAGCATAGTCAAAGCTGCATTGAATGTGGTCCCAAAGCCAGTTTTGTAATGAGGAATGGTGTAACTAGAACATTGTAGACACTGATTTATGTCCCGCGTTGGTGATTGCTTTCAGTATAGAAGTCCTAAGAACAGAAAGCATCGCATCGGTCCAGCCTCGCTTGTTCGGATCTGAGTCGTCTCATCGAAAGTTTCCCATTTGTTTTTAGGATTTCATGAGCTTGCTTATTTCATCAGTGAAGTTATTTAGTTTTTGAGACAAGGTCCCGCTGTAGCCCAGTGTTGCCTAGAACTCAGTAGCCCATGCTGCCCTCCGACTGGAAGTCGTCTACCCCGCCTCCCAAGTGCTTGAGTTATGGGCATTTACCATCAGGTCTACTGATGCTGGTGCTTGATGGTATATATGGTATATAGAAATAATTATTTTGGCTGGGTGGTGGTGTCACACGCCTTTAATCCCAGCACTGGGAAGCAGAGCCAGGTGATCCCTATGAGTTCAAGGCCAGCCTGGTCTACAGAGCGAGATCCAGGACAGACACCAAAACTACACAGAGAAACCCTGTCTCGAAAAGCAAAAACAAATAAACAAACAAAAAAAACAACCAAAAATTGAAATAATTATTTTGGCTGGGTGGTGGTGGTGCATGCCTTTAATACTAGCATACGAGAGACAGAGGCAGACAGGTGGATCTCTGAGTTCCAGGCCAGCCTTGTCTACAAAGCTAGTTCCAGGACAGCCAGAGCTACACAGAGAAACCCCGTCTCGAAAAGAGAAAAGAAAGAAAGAGAGAGAGAGAGAAAGAAAGATTATTTTGATAATTGAAGGTTTAGAGTAGTTTGTTAGTCATATCTTTTATAAATCAGCATCAGTAAAAATAGGGGGCCAGTGACATGGCTGAGGTGCCATGGAAGCCTGACATCCTGAGTTGGATCCTTGGAACCCATATGGTAGGAGAATGTCCACTCTACATACAAGTCATGCCCTGACCTCTACATATGCATTATGGTGCCTGTGTGTACACATGCACTAAATAAACACATGTAATTTTAAATAGCACTTCATAGGCTTTTGTTTTACAGTTTCAAAATTTGTTAGCAACTCTACTGATTGAAATAGAAGGGAGGCTGAGGTTTTTTCAGTGGGAGGGGTTGACAGGATCTTACTATAGAAGACTGGCCATGAACTTGAATTTATTCACTTCTGCTTCCCAGTGCCAGGATTACAGATATGTCTTCCACTCCTGGTTTAGTGTTTTATGATAGCTTGTTATGCAGTAACCCTGACTGGCCTATGTTCTGTATCCTCCTCCCCCACCCCCCAGGTAAGAGTTAGTAGATATGTACCACCATGTCCAGCTCCTCATCTGACCCTTTTTAGACAGGGTATTAATTTGTAGACCTAGCTAGCTTAGAATTCAACTGCAAGACCAAGTCAGTCCCAACCTTGCCTCAGTCCTGCTACTGCTTTCCAAATGGTGTGTGCCACTGTGTCTACCCTGGTTCTGCTTCTGTGTTTTTAACTGTTCCTGCAAAGTTCAGGTGGACTTCTATATAAAAGCAACGGCTTTCCCCCCTTTTTCCCTATAAGGATAAGCCAAGAGTAGGGGGAAGGCAGCATTGGGAACCTGGCTGTGAGGCTGCAGGGTAGAGTATGATAGCGAGTGTTGGGGCACTTAGCTGTGTGTGTCACGTGACAAACTGCCAGCTGTACTTGTGTTTAGCATTTTGGGGATAGGATCTATCTCTAGCCTAAATGGCCTGGCAGTCACTTTGTAGTCCAGGCTAGTCTTGACTTCCTGCCTTGGCCTCTTAGTGCTGGAATTACATACATACTGTGTAACCACACTTATATGTGTGTTTTTATATCCTTTATTCTAGAAATCCTTCTAAGTCCTTCTCTTTCTTGCTGAGGTCTCTTGGCTCTGTTTCATTTTTCTTTTCATTACTCCCATTCTGATTTAGTCCCGAATTTCCTTCTCAAGCAGTCTGCAGAGCCTCGGTTCTGCAGCCAGTGCAGGCAGTTTAAAGTTTTATTTTATTCATATATTTGTGCAGAACATATGCATACAGTGTCTGGGGATGCTAGAAGAGAATGTTGGAGGCCCTGGGGCTGGAGTTACACTTGTGAACCACAATGTGGGTACTGGGAATCAAACCTGGGTCCCCTGGAAGAACAACAGAAACTCTTAACTCCTGAGCTACCTCTCCAGACCCTTAGTGCAAACTCAAGAGTTTGCCTTTTAGCCTCTGAGCCATCTCTCCAGGACCATGGATATTATCTAGCCAAGTAGCTATTCAGAAGATAACTCCAACAACAGACAAATTTAATTTGTTACCAACTGCGAGAGTTAATCTTCTGTCAGCTTCTTTCTGTTGTGCTCACTGACATGGGCTGGAAGCCTGTGGCCCCATCCTTCACTTTCCCTTCTGGGGGCCTGTATGGACTGAGTTAACAAAACCAATCAGGATAAGTGATGTTTAGAGTGTGGTAGCATCAGGGACTTTCTACATATCATCAAATTAAATCCAGCCTTGGGGAGACAATACCTGAATTAATAGTTACCACTTTCCCCCAGGGTTCTGATGTAGAGATCATGAATTCTGCCACAGCCAGTGACAGCTGTGAACTGACTCTAGAATGTTCCTCATTAGAGCAAGAGGAACTGCAAGTTCTTCATGTGAGGCCTGGAGGTGGAGGTAAGTTAAGTTCCCATTTCTTTTTCTGGGGCTAGGGGTACCATCCATGATTGCCATTGGAATGGTCTTATCCTGGGATGTTCAGTGGACTTGTAAGAAGGCAGGAATCTGCCAGCAAGTGTCTGAGAATAGTTAGAAGGCCGCTGCTGACACTGGAGAGCCATTAATGAGTTACATTCTCTGTGCAATTGTCCCCCCACACTTTCAAGTAAAATAAGTGTTTTCAAAGGACTAACGCTCTTGATCTTGGTTTTATCCCAGAAAGCAGCGCAAACAGCATGTCGTCAGTGGAAGAGACTCTGTTGGCATCAGTGAGAGAAACCAAGTCAGAGATTGAGGTAAACCTTTGTTTTGTACTCTGGATGTTTGAGAAGCACTGTCCTATTTATAGCTAAGCATTCTATTCCTACCTAAATTACAAGAAAATTTAGTGGAAAAAACCAGTTGGTTTTAAGGTTAAAGTTAACTTCTGCTGCGTTTCAGAACAGGACACTGAGCAAGTACCTTCCCCTAGGTCACCCTCACAGACAGCCCTGAGTGTGACTAGAAGATGAGTTAGTGTTTAAAGAACTAATAATCTATATTGTGATTGTTTTTGGAAATTGATTTCATTCTTGAGCTTTATTTTACTGAGGGAATTTTACTGAGTGAATGTCTAAAATGAAGGTTAACTTTTACATTTGACAACAAGTTAAACATTGTCTGTTGGAGCTGTCTTTTGAATAAAGCGACTTGGCTAGATAATTTCCATAGTATTTTAGTTCCTTGGTACTGAGATTGGGTGACATAAAGAAAAATAATCCATTTCTGGAAAGGTCTGGAGAGATGGTTCAGTGGTTAAGAGTGCCTGCTACTTAATAATCATGAGGACTTGGGTTCAGATTTCACCACACATGGAGTAAGCTGGGTGTCCCACAAACATCTAACTACAGCTCCAAGGGATCTGCTGCCCTCTTCTGGTCTGTGTGTACACTTGGACACGTGCAGACAGTTAAGCAGATACATGTCCACTTCCCCACATAAATAAAATCAATGTTTAGTGTTGACGAGATGGTTCAGCAGGAAGGAAGGTACTTGGTGCAGAGTCTAACCTGAATTCAGTCCCCAGGAACTCACATGGTAGGAGAGAAATGACTGGCAAGATGTCCTCTGACTGCCACATGCACCCCCAAAAAAGTTATTAAAAATAATTTAATTTTGGAGGCTGCAAAGTCCAAGATGAAGGTGCTGATGTCTGGTTTGTGGGGTGATGATCGCTCCTTGCTTTAGAATGGTACCTTTTGCCACATTCTCTAGGGAACAAATGCAATGTCCTTGGCTGACAGGAAGGGAATGGCCAAATGGCATTGTGCTGTGTGTTCAGACAGCATTCTCCTCAGAGCTGATTAAATTTGAGTGTTAATGTTTTGTTTGGGTTTTTTTTTTTTTTTTTTTGAGGCAGGGTCTTTCTACATAGCCCTGGCTGTCCTGGAACTCAGTATGTAGAGCAGGCTGGCCTCTAACTCACAGAGCTCCACCTGCCTTTGTCTTCTGAGTGCTGGGATTAACGTGTGTGCCAGTCTAAGTTTTAATGAATTTGGGGGCGTGTTCAGACTCTAGTGCCTAGTAGCTGATGAACTAGACAAGTTGAATCAGTCTGTTCTGTGCTCCCTGGATGTAGTATTTTGTGCCAGTGAACTCACCAGACTAGTGAAGTAAGTGAGTTCTTGGGGTCCTGTTGTCATGGAGGGAGCTTTAGTCTCTTCAGCTTTTGAAGCACAGTGGGAGGAGACAGGAGTCTCATCTATTCTTAGCATTATGGGTGGCTTTGAGGTCTCCAAACTAAAGAGAGTGAGCCTGTGATTGCACACTTTACTGTGGGGTAGAAGTCATTTCTTTAAGGGCTGGGGGAGTATTGGGGGTAGACCCGAAGCATAGCATGCCCAAGACCCGGGCTCCATCCCCAGCATTGGAAAGCACAGGGAAGGGGGAGAGAAGGGAAAGGAACGAAACTAGGTGTCATGTATTCTGAACAGCGAAGAAAATTTAAGACTCAAAATGACTGAGGTTGCTGCCTGTAAAATTTGGTTCCGTAGGTTGAGGAAGCAGCTTCCCCTGAAGACAATGTGTATTTGGGAACTACCAGCGATGATTCTGATATTGTTACACTTGAACCACCTAAGCTGGAAGAAATGGGAAACCAGGAAGTTATGAAAGAAGCGCCCAGCTCCGACGACTTTAACATGGGCTCCTCCTCCAGTAGCCAGTACGCCTTCTGCCAGCCAGAGCCCGGTAGGAGCTGTTGCAGCAGCAGACCTCTGACCTCTTAGTTAATGGCTTGTTTTCTAGCTCCAGCTCTCAGCTTAAGTGATGCAAGAAAATCTTGGTAAAGTTTGTTACAGTGCCTTCCTGGCCTTAATGGATCAGCTCAGTGTTCTTTCTTTGATACGTGAGTGGGGCTGGGGGAGGGTCCTGGGGACAGCCCTAGATATTGCACATGCTAGGTAAACTTACTCTGTTACATTCAGTTTATTAGTCTCAAGTCCTCAAGAGATGCATTTGGCTTTTAATATTTGGCTGGTTGACTGAGGTATCGTAGAGTCCAGCTCTGTAACTCTGGCTGTTTTTAAGTTCACTGTATAGCTCAGGTTAGTCTCGGATCTGGCTGCAGTTGTTCCACGGGCATGTGCCACCATTCCAGCTCCCACAGGTCTTTTGTTTTGTTTTGGGTTGTTTTTGTTTTTGTTCTTTCAAGACAGAGTTTCTCTGCATAGCCGTGGCTGCCCTGGAACTCACTCTGTAGACCAGGCTGGCCTCGAACTCAGAGATCTGCCTGCCTCTGCCTCCTGAGTGCTGGGATTAAAGGTGTGCGCCATCACCGCCCGGCTACTTCCACAATTTTTTTTTAAGATTTTTTTTATGTATGTGGTGTTCTATCTGTATGTACACCTGCATGCCTGAAGAGGGCATCGAATCTCATTACAGATGGTTGTGAGCCACCATGTGGTTGCTGGAATTGAACTCAGGGCCTCTGGAAGAGCTGCCAATGCTCTTAACTGCTGAGCCATCTCTCCAGCCCCTACTTCCACAATTCTTAACTGCAGTTTTCTGAATATGTAGTATCTTTCAATGTGACACAAAATACTTAGACATAAAGTTCCTGGAAAATGTTAAAAGAGAAGCCTGTAACTAACTCAGTTATTAATTAATTAGCCCACAGTCATAATTTAGAACTGCTGTTTTAAGCGGTTCCTAATTTGATGAAAAACCAAGAATATACAGAATCTAGTTCGGATATTCTCCTTGGATTTTCCCATTCTTTTAACACTGGATACATTTGGTAGTCAGAATCAATGACATTTCTCATTCCAATTTAAGGTAATAACATGCCACATTGTGTTTCTTGGCTATTTTGTTGGTTTGTTCTGGGATAGGATCTCACTCTTGAGCCTACCTAATCCTGGACCTCACTGTATAGCCTTGGCTAACCTTGAATTTGTGACAGTTTTCCTGTCTTAGCTGGGATTGAGCTGGGCTTACGGTAAACATCCTGTTTCCATGTGACACACCATGTTTAACACTGTGTGCTATGTAAATTGTTAGGGAATGGTGATAAAAAGAAGCCTGAGCCTGCTGGCTGTGGTGGTGCACGCCTTTGATCCCAGCGCTTGGGAACAGAGGTAGGTGGATCTTGGAGTTCGAGACTAGCTTGGTCTACTGAGTGAGTTCCAGGACAGGCTCCAAAGCTACACAGTACAAAGCTATTTTGTCTTGAAAAAAAAAAAAAAAAAAACCAAAAGAGAGAGAGTGTGTCTGTGTGTGTTCAGAACAGAGGAATTTTTTTCTGATTATTTTTAATCCATCCTTCGTTGAGCCCAAGATATAGATGGCTAACTATTTTCAGAAGGTTAGTACTGTTGAATTCAACAGATACCCAGGGTCAAGGGGTCTGAGAGGCCTTCCCACCCTCAGGGTGCTCAGGTTCCTCAGGGGCTCAGCAGGGCAGCACTTGATATGTGTATTTTTTGAATTTTAGAATTCCATCATGTTCAGATGGTTTCCCCTTTTTATATATTTACTTAAAAATTTGTATTTTCTGCCTCTGGCTTCAAATGCATGGACTCAAGTAGGAGTGGAGCCTGAGGGCTCGGGAACAGGACATTGTTTGTTAGGTTTTTGAGACAGGGTTTCTCTCTCTCTAGCCCAGGCTGGCCTCGAACTCATAGAGATCCACCTGCCTCTGCCTCCCTAATGCTAGGATTAAAGGCATGAGCCACCACCGCCGGGCTAATCTAAACATTGTTGATGGGAACTTGCTCCTCTAAGCCTAGGATTTTGACTTGATTTCCTCCTAAGATCTGAGAATGTTTCAGAATTAGTTAACAGAAATATTAAGGGTTTTTTTTTTTTTCTTTGTGTTCATTTGGTTTCTTTATTATTTGAGACAGGGTCTCACAGTGGATCCCTGACTGGCCAGGAATTTGCTGTAGACCAGGTCATCCTCAAACCCATAGAGATTGGCTTGTCTCTGTCCCTTGAGTGCTGGGATCAAATGTGTGTGCCACCATGCCCAGTTTCAGCATTTTTTTAACCTATTGTAATCCTTCCCATCAAATTGCTTATATAAAGAAAGTGTTTACAAATAATGATAAATTTTAGGCTACACTGAAAATACTGTACAGCCAGGCACATTGGATGATTTAGTCTCCTCAATTACCTTGTTCTGTTCTCTCCCATTCTTTTTTTCCTTACAGCTTTTCAGCTTCGTGTTTTTGTATGAATCTAATAGGTATTCAGCTTTCGTTTGTTTAAGGAAACTCCCGCCTTCCATTGACCAGCCTTTCTCCTCAGAAGGCAAAGGTGGTAGCTGTAGAGAAGTTTGTGTTGTGTGTGTTTCTAAAGAGACTCACTGGATTTTAATCTCACGTAGATAACAGTGTTAACTGATGAAAGTTGTATTTTCAGTTTTTTCCTTTATGACTTACAATAAAGCTTTATACATTTTTTTCCTGTTTATTCACAAAAGAAAGATGGTGGGAGAAGCTGTGGAAGATTCCTGAATGCATAAGGGGATGGGATGATCAGCTGAAACTCCGTGTTCCTAGCCAGCTCGCTCTCCAAGGTGGCGTGACTGATGCTGAGCGGCTTCTCAGCTGGCCCTAGTCACAGTTACTGTTGAAATGCTGAGTGCTTTGGGGAGTTGATCCCAGAGATCCCACAAACAGGCCGGCTGAGCTTACTGCATGCCTCTGCACTGCCTGCTGCTTGGATTGTGGGCCAGATTACACTGTACAGAAGTTTAGAAATCCAGATATTTCCACTATTACATGTATGAGTTAAAGATGGAAGCATTAGGTAGTTAATGGCTGTTAATATCTATAGATTGGGTTATTCATATATATGAAGGCAATGTGTATTATATATGAAGGCTTGGAGACATTTTTAAGACATTTGGAGAAAGCTTTGCTTTTACATTTACTTACTCTGATTCTGTCAGAAAGTGACTCCAGTACCCCAGCCACGGTCTGAATGCCTTTATACTATGCAACGCTTGGTTTAAGTCTTTCTCTCCTATTTTATCTAAGAAATGTAAGGCGATGGCATCTTGGAAAAACTAGTGATCAAGAATAACCAGAGCCATGCTGGGCATGAGGATTCACGACACTGATCCCCTCGGTGGCCACCATGTCACTAAGCACTTGGACATGTGTTCATTCAGTAGTGATGGAGTCTCTTTTGTTATGTGAACAGGAACTAAATTCCCCACACTTGATCTTTAGAAAGCATTGCCTGACGTAGACACCAGCTTTCCTGTGGCATGAACAGCCTGTTTTCTGAAAGACCGGCATTTTTGGTGCATGAGTGTGTGCTGTTTTGGAGCTCAGTGTTGAAGTCAAGTTCACATCTTATCCTTACTTCTAACTGGCTATAGAGATTACTACCAAGTGTTGTCAATAATTTGTTGAACTATGGAATGGAGATAAGAAGTGACATGCAAAAGCTGCAGGCCATGTTTCCAGGGGCATGTGTGCGTGTTCCTGGAGTGGAGTGTTTGAGTTTTTTTTGTCCCCCGTGTCCGTCCCTCCCCCCCAGCTGAGGACTGAACCCAGGGCCTTGCAATTGCTAGGCAAGCGCTCTACCACTGAGCTAAATCTCCACCCCCCTTCCTTCCTGAGGCAGCAGCACCAGACGGGCCTCAGCATCCAGCATCGGGGACAGCTGCTGTGGCGCTCCCTCCTGCTGACATAGTTACTAGAGGGTAAATCCACAACCTTCTGGTAAGAGTGGCAGTCGAAGGGAAGAGTCACCTGACTTCGGGAACCTGTGTTGAACTGTGGTGCTTTGGACCTGCATGGTGGGGTAGGGACCCGGAAGACCTATTATCCGAGACCAGGAAGTACTTAGAGACTTCCTATTCCTTCACGTAACTGTGAATTGAATGAATGAAAAGACAGGGTTTCTTTTTTCCTTAACTAAATACTTGTTTCCGTCTGTAAGGCTGAACTAGACTACAAGAAGGAGTAACTGTTCTAGACCATAGGGTGGGGAAGGACAGAGCTTTGAGAAGAGCTGGAGAAGAAGCCTGTCACAGGGGCAGAGGCGGGTGTAACAGTTGTTAGACTACCGTTTGTCTGTGTTTGGTTTGCTGTTGGTTCTTGTTTGTGTTCCTCTCTGGCTTTTTCATGTTAAAGGACATGTAAGGCTAGCGTTGATTATTATAAATCATATTTACTGGGAAGCCTTTTCTGAGAATGTTTACCTAAATACCAACATTTTTCTTTTAAAATAGTCTTTTCATCTCAGCCTAGTGATGAGGAATCCAGTAGCGATGACACCAGCCATGAGCCCAGCCCTGTCCCCAGACGCCGCCGCAACAGGAAGAAGACCATTTCCATCTCAGAGTCTGAGGAGCCGCCACTGGCTGAACCGGAGGAGGAACCCTCCAAGGAGCCGAGTAAACGACACTTCAGTGGTGGTCTCAACAAGTGTGTTATCCTGGCCTTGGTGATTGCTGTCAGCATGGGATTTGGACATTTCTATGGTAAGTGTTTAGAAAAACCTTGTGCAGAAGCCACTTACCTATAGCACCAGGACAAGATGGCACACAGAAGAAAGGTCAGTGTTGGTTACAATGGTCTATGTCTCTATCTACAGTTAGCTACTTTTCTTAGGAGGCAGAGTGGAGGATTGCTGAAGAAGCTCCCGAGTTTGACATTAGCCTAGGCAACATAGCCAGATCCTGTCCCCAAACAAAACATTAACAAATTTTTTTTTTGAGACAAGATCAGGCTAGTCTTCAACCTGTGATCTTCCTATATCAGACTCTCAAGCATAAGTAAGGACTTTTAACATATTTATGGCTTTTTTGTTTTGTTTTGTTTTAAGTAAGAAGATGAAAGATTTAAAAATGTGAAGTTGGGGAGTTGGGGCTTGAGAGATGGCTCAGTGGTTAAGAGCATGGCTCCTGGCTATTCCTCCAGAGGACCCAGGTTCAATCTCCAGTACCTAACCCACACGGGGACTGTTTCATACCCATCTGTAATTCCTCACAAGGGTCTCCCGCCCTCTTCTGACCCTTAGGGCGCTGCGTGCACATAGTGCACAGCTACACATGCAGGCAGAACCCTCCTAAAAACCTGAAGATGCTGAGCCTGGTGGTGCATGCCTTCAATCCCAGAGGCAGGCAGAGGATTTTGAGTTCAAGGCCAGCCTGATTCACAGATTCCATCCCAGGCTAGCCAGCTACTTAGACCCTGTCCAAAGTAAAATAAAAATCTGAAGTTGGATGTGGTAATAAGTTGGTATATATGGTAATCATGTAGGAGACCTAGACATGAGACTCTCAGCTTAAGACCCTGGGTTCACAGGAAAAACAAATTACCTTGGGGCAGATTGTTAGAATTTGTTGCATAATATTTAAATTCCAACAAAATAGTCACATAATGGTAGACAGGGTATGGTTCACATCTATAATCCCAGCCCTTGAGAGACTGAGGCAAGAAAGTTGCCAAGAGTTCAGGGACAACCTTGAATAGTGTGTGATACTATCTCAAAAACCAAAAACAGAGAAAGTTGCATCTGAAATGTTGAATAACTAGTGCTCATTATTTCTACTTTGAGCTGCCTTCTTTTGTTAGGATAGTAATAATCTTTATACAGCTGGTCTATAATAAACTATTTTGTTAGATAGATGACTTCTAAATAGCTTATGTATAGGAACATCTGTTTCTGGACACTCAGCCATGAATTACAGTTTTGTTAGTATGATCTTTCTAACATCATACAGATGTTGGCGAGCTGTCATGGCATAGCCCTCCATAGTAAAACCTAGATGTGCCTTGAGGTTGCATGCAGGAGTTGTTTTGTGACATCCATTTCTGCTTTCCTGTTTCTATGAGTTTGAGGCCAGCCAGGTCTATAGAGGGAATTCCAGAGCAGTCAAGACTACTCATAGAAATACTGTCTTGAAAACCAAAAGGAAAGCCGAGCAGTGGTGGTGCATGCCTTTAATCCCAGCCCTCGGGAGGCAGAGCCAGACAGATCTCTGTGAGTTCGAGGCCAGCCTGGGCTACAGAGTGAGACCCAGGACAAGCACCTAAACTACACAGAGAAACCCTGTCTCGAAAAACCAAAAGAAAAAAAAAAAAGAAAAGGAAAAAAAGGACATCTCACTGAATCTCTTAAGTCCTGTAATTTTTGGGGAAGTTTTAACCACTTATTACTGTGTGTGTGTCTGAGTATGTGCATTTGGGTGCAAGTGCTACGCCATATGTCAGAAGACATCTCTGGAGTTCTCTTTTGTACCTTTATGCGGGTTCAGGGGATCGAACTCAGGTCTCCAGGCTTATACACCACAACCCTCTCCCTGACATCTTGCTAGCACAAGGCCTGTATTTGTACAGTCTGAGAACTAGGTGTTCCTATTCTGTTCTTTTGGACTTTATAGACTAGTTCAGTTTATTCTTTCTATTTTTTATTTTTTTGGTTTTGGTGCAGGGTATACTATGTAACCCAGGCTGAGCTCTACTGGTGATCTTAGCTTCCTGAGTGCTGGGATTACAGACCTGTGCTACCAGGTCTGCATAGCAGATCACAGTGTACTTTAGAAAGAAATGCTCAGACCTTGTCAGATTCAGAACTCCTTTGTTATTGTTGTCTGAGACAAGGTCTCTCTAGCTAGCCCCGGCTCTCCTGGAACTGACTGTGTAGCTCTATTCTGTAGAACAGGCTGGACCCAGATTCACAGAGCTCCATCTGCCTCTACCACCCATGTCCTGGACTAAAGGTCTATGCCAGCATGCCTGGTAACTTGACAAATCTTAGTTTACCTGTATAAACTGTTTTAGATTTATTAATTTTCTTGGTCAACATAACCTATTCTTAACTTTCTGTTTTGGAAGTTCTTTCCAACAATGTGTGTGTTCTTTCATGATTGTGGTAAAGGTATTAGATAGAGAGCATGATACTGGAATAAGATGGTGGGGCAGCCCATACTTGTTAAAGTCAGATCACGGACCTGTTTTCTTTGTTCAACTTGAGGTGGTCTTTGGGCTCATGGGAAGGCCTGCTTGTGTGTACTGCTGAGTACTCACTCCCGAGGTCCTTCCTTGAACAACACTAGGGAGACATGTTCTGAATCATGCTTGCCTATGTTGATGGATGAAGCAAATATGTCAATGTTTCTATGTGTTTTCCCCTACAGGTAAACATGAAGGAAACAAGGGAAAAGGTCTAAAATCTTTATTACTAAAAGCCAAGCATTGGATATTAACTTTAATGTTAATACAGACTGCACTAAAATCTCACAATTTGCATGACTTTGGAATATTTTTAGAAAGTACAGTTTAAAACAGTTCTTTTAAAACCAAGAAAATTTGTTTCCTTGTTTGCTAGCTTTAACAAAATTAACACATATCTTCCTTCCTGTACATTTTCACATTAGCCTTATCACAGCATGAGAACCCTGGATGATGCAGTGTGCGAAGTGAGTGAGTCTACACAGTAACTCTAAGCCCTGACCCCCGTGGCCTTTCAGTAGCCTCACTTAGAGGACAGGACTTCATCCTGTGCTGGACAGTGAGCTCCAAACTAAGCCTTTCTCCAGCATCTGTGTCCATAGGCAGCCACCTGGTATAAACATCTACTCAGAACCCAGCCAGCCTTGACTCCATGAAAGTGTGGGTTTTTCTGTCTGTACCAGAAGAGTGACTGCAGTGGACTAGCTGTTTGACATGATTCAGATTCTAAAAGTGCATCTGAAGTTCAGAAAAAAGATAAAATCTACATGAATGGTAGCACCAAAACCCATGCCTGAAGTACATCTCTCCTTGCTCTTCTCATCTCCACACTCAGATGGGGATGTTGACAGGCTGTCACAAACAGGCATTAAAGTCCATGCTGCATGGGCTCACTAAGTTATCCTTGAATGGGCTTTTAGTAAGCTTATGACAGGCAGGAGGGGGAGTAGACCATTCCAGCAACTGAAACTCTAAGCCCTGGGAACAGTAACAAAGACTGTCTAGGTGATAGGAAACGGGTATTTTTAAAGTGGACAATGTAGGTTGTTAAAGTCAAGTAAAACTACGGGAAGTGAGAAGTCAGCTGGAGCTGCTGTGCCTTGTGTGATCCATATAGTGGTGCTGAAGGCCTTGGGCCTTAGGCTGAAGGGAGGAGGATGAGGAGGTTATTACAGTGAGGTTCCCAGCCTGGATTCTGCATTGTTAGTCCGTCAGAGTTTAGGAAGTGTGCTAGCTGCTTCCTGTCTGAAGTAGAGGGTTTCCCAGGGGAAGAGTCCTGCCAGACAGTGAAGTAGCTAGATGTTGTGCCGGACCCCCACCACTGAGCCAAATCCCCACCCCTTATTGGTGAGTGATGTGCACAAGTGGGTTTCAGGATCTGTAGAAGGAGTTCCAGTGGATTGTTACATCCTCTGTTTAAACTGCTGCTTGTAGTGGTGTGCCTCCTCTGTGTTAGGTGCCAGATGTGCTTTTTGGTTTGGTGGTGTATTTTCTTGTGCAGGACACATGTAGGAGGGGCATGCAAACAGCTTGTCTTAGCATAAGAATATTTTGAATTTAAGGTCAAATATGAAGGAATTGTCCAGGAACTGGGTGTGTACTGAGGGCTTTACAGATTGTAGCTAGAGCCTCCTCCACTGAGCTACATATAGCCCTGTTGAAGAATTTGTAAAAGAGTTGGCTTTGAGGGCCAGCAAGATGGCTCAGTGGGTAAAGGCGCTTACCTCCAAGCCTGATGACCTGAGTTGATCCCCGAGAGCCACAGAGGAAGGAAGGAAGGAGCCAACTCCTACAGGATCCTGATCCCTGAATTTGTGTCATGGCATGCATGTGTCCCCTCTCCCACAAAAAGTGAATTTTTTAAGAAGTAATCTCAGCCTTTAAGAAGTAGAAGGAGGAGAATCAGAAATTCAAGAGTGTCTTCAGCTAAATAGAGAGTTGGACTCCATCCTAGATGACTTAAGACCCTGTCTCGGGGAAAAAAAATCAATTGACTTTGAGAATGATGGGTGTTTGTTATTAGACATTTCCTGTGCTACACTTCAGTATCCTGTAGGCAAATTATTAAGAAGCGTACATTTTCATTTTTCTTTGACTCTTGATCTGTAGGAAAAGAGACGCACTGATGGCTTATTTTTCTGTTTAAAGAAACACTTCAGAAAAGCTGAGTGTCTTCATTATAGCAAGAGAAGAACTTTCTTCTTGTCATTGTTAAAGTGGCCTGTGTTTTTCTTTGGAAGAGTGTAGTGATCTGCTTAAATGTTCTTGTGTTTGCTGAGTTCACCACGGGTGTTCCTGTGTGTGTGTGCTGACTGAGTTCACCATGGGTGTTCCTGTGTGTGTGTGTGCTGACTGAGTTCACCATGGGTGTTCCTGTGTGTGTGTGCTGACTGAGTTCACCACGGGTGTTCCTGTGTGTGTGCTGACTGAGTTCACCACGGGTGTTCCTGTGTGTGTGCTGACTGAGTTCACCACGGGTGTTCCTGTGTGTGTGTGCTGACTGAGTTCCCATGCATTATTAGTCTGCTTGGCCTGAGCTCTAGCACTGTCAATTGGTGAGTCATATCATGAGGTGTTTTTTTTTTTTTTAAGGAAAGAATGCCCTTACCTAAGTTAAGTGGCTAGTGTTGATGGAGTGCTGTGTGCAGTTTTGAGTAGTGGCAGTCATGCTGTACCAAATGGTTTTTCCTTTCAGGCACAATTCAGATTCAGAAGCGTCAGCAGTTAGTCAGAAAGATCCACAAAGATGAGCTGAATGATGTGAAGGATTACCTCTCGCAATGCCAGCAGGAACAAGAGTCTTTTCTAGATTTCAAGGTGTGTATTAATTAAACATTGAAAAATAACTAATAATGGGGCTGGAGAGATGGCTCAGTGGTTAAGAGCACTGACAGCTCTTCCAGAGGACCCGGGTTCAATTCCCAGCACCCACATGGCATCTCACAACTGTCTGTAACTCCAGTTCCAGGGAACCTGAAACCTTCACACAGACATTAGCAGGCACATAAAATAAAAATTTTTAAAAAGGGGGGGAAAAAAGAAAAATAACCAATAGTGATGTAGAAATAATTGTTTGAGCTAGGTGTGGGGGCACACCCACTATAACCCTACCTATCATAGTACTTGAGGACTGAGGCAGTATGAATCAGGCCAAGTTCAAGCTATTTAGCACCACTGGCCTCAGAAAGCCAAGAAGGAAAAAAAAAAACAGAAGCCAGCAGTTGAACTACTTAGATGCAATTACAATAAAGATCAATCAATCAATAATTGGGATGAGTGAGATGGCTCAGCAGGTAAAGGAACTTGTTTCCAGGCCTGACCACCTGAGTTCCGTCCCCAGGCCTCACTTGGTAGAAGGAGAGAACAGACTCCCCACAGCCATAAGTTGTCCTCTGACCTCCACATGCATACCTACAGACAGACTTTAAAACACACAAATAAATGTAACAAAAAAAATAAAAAATGTTAATAAGTTGTTTAGTATTTTTTTGTTTGTTTTCGAGACAGGGTTTCTCTGTAGTTTTGCGCCTTTCCTGGAACTCACTTTGTAGACCAGGCTGGCCTCGAACTCACAGAGATCCTCCTGCCTCTGCCTCCCGAGTATTTTTATACCTGTTACATTGTTATGCATCATGTACCTTATTTGGCACTCTTGTGAGTGAAGTCATCTGTTTCATTTTAGAAATAGAGGTTCAGATAGACTAAGTAACTTTACAAGGCCAGCAGATCAAATTGGATTCCAGTATCTAACTGCAAAGACTTTTTAGGTTTTTTTGAGATGGGGTTTCTCTCAGAAACAGTCCTGGCTGTCCTGAAACTCACTCTGTAGACCAGGCTGGGCTCGAATTCAGAGATTTGCCTACCTCTGCCTCCTAAGTGCTGGGATTAAAGGCGTGTGCCACCACCGCCCAGCTTTTCAAAGATCTTTTAAACTTGATCTCTCCGTGTGTACATGAGTGCTTTGTATGCATCGCGCAAATGTAGAGATCAGAAAACTTCAGGAGTCAGTTCTCTGAGATCCACCATTCGGGTACTAGGGAACTGATCTAGGGAATCCAATTCAGGTCATCGGGCCTGGCAGCAGGGACCTCCACAAGCTGAGCCATCCTGCAAACTACAGTTTTTTGTTTGTTTTTTAAAGATTTATGTATTTATTATATATGCCTCCATATATGCCTGCACGCCCGAGGAGGGCACCAGATCTCATTATGGTGGCTGTGAGCCACCATGTGGGTGCTGGGAATTGAACTCAGGACCTCTGGAAGAACAGCCAGTGCTCTTAACCTCTGAGCCATCTCTCCAGACCCACAAACTACAGTTTTAAATCTCAACTTTTTTTTTTCCCCATGAAGAGTAATGAGTTAATGAAACAACTATTTCAGTTAGTTGTTTTTCACATGTAAAATTCTGTTACTCTTTTTTTTTTTTAGTCTGTTTCTGAATTCAAGTTTACTTGGATTTGGGAAAATACTTAACTATGTTACCAGAATTCACACTGTCCTCTGTGTACAGAGACTTTTCTAGGAGACCCTGGACTTATACACTGATGTACAGTAGCATTTCCAGCCACCCTAGTACTGGGATTAAAGGCATGTACCATGCTGCCTTCTCAATATTTTTTAATCCACATTGGTACTGAGTCAAGGGATATGCAGATACTAATGGCTGGTTGCGTGTTTACCCACAGAAGGCAAATGCAGCTAACTTTAAAATGTCTTAGTTGTTGGGTGTGGTGCCCTGTACTTTTAATCCCAGCACTTGGGAGGCAGATCTCTGTGTTTGAAGCCAGCCTGATATACATTGTAAGTCCAGGACATCCAGGGCTATGTAGAGAGACCCTGTCTCAGATGAATAAATAGAAAACTCTTAGTTCTTTACTCTGTAGGCAGCTTTTCAGGACAGCTCCTGTACTAACAAGAAGGAAGGGCTTCCCTCACGTTCCAGTTTACAAATGTGTGTAATCTGATGCAGCGTTAGCACTGAATCTGGGCCCTGGGTCTGCTAGTAAGTACTCAGCCCTTTAGTCTGTTAGAGATGAGTGAGTTCTGCCTAGCTTGTCCTTGTTTGACTTCTCCCTCATCAGTGTTCCTGATTAGACAGAGCTGCCTGCTACACATTTTCTTCCACGTGACACTTGTAGTTTCCTTTGTTTTCAAGAATGAAAGCATCTTGATAAATGACAAGTGGCACTGAGTATTTATTTTCCAAGTTTTAATACTGTTTAGCCACACCCAGAAGATCTGGGTGTATGCTCATATACATACCTATATACATACACACATATGTGGGCAGTAAAGGTTATGGTTGTTAGATGATAAAGATTTAGATTAAACTTTCCAAGCACTTGACATTTCTCTTCTCTTTCAAAAAAAACCATCTAGTCATTGAAGGAAAACCTTGAAAGGTGTTGGACCGTTACTGAAGCAGAGCAGATTACCTTTGCAACTCAGAAAAGGAATCTTGCTGCAGAAAACCAGCATTTAAGAATATCTTTGGAGAAGGAACAGAAAGCCCTGTCTTCACTACAGGAAGAGTTACGGCAACTAAGGGAGCAGATTAGATTGTTGGAGGATGAAGGCACAAGTACCCAGTTAGTTAGGGAGAACCAGGATCTTAAGCGCCATCTAGAAGAGGAGAAACAGAAAACGAACAGTTTCTTTAACGAAAGGGAGACTCTGGTAGAGGAAGCAAAGGCGCTGAAGAGGGACCTGGAGAGAGAACAGTTCACAGCCATGGCTCTGCGGGCAGAACTGGAGCAGGTGGTCCCTGGCCAGGCACGGGGCCATGCAGACTCTCCCGGCGTGCGGACTGAAGAGAAGGAGGTGGCGCTGTTAAGGCAGAGGCTGGCTGAGTTGGAGCAGAAGCTAACCTTCGAGCAGCAGCGCTCTGACTTGTGGGAAAGACTGTATGTTGAGGCGAAGGATCAAAGCAGAAAGTCAGAGAGCGAAGGGAGGAAGAGAGGAAGCAGAGGAAGCCACAGGGCTAAGAGCAAGTCGAAGGAGACATTTCTGGGGACAGTTAAGGAAACATTTGATGCTATGAAGAATTCTACCAAGGAGTTTGTGAGGCATCATAAAGAAAAAATCAAGCAGGCGAAAGAAGCCGTGAAGGAGAATCTGAAGAAGTTCTCAGATTCAGTCAAGTCTACTTTTCGACATTTCAAAGACACCACCAAGAACATCTTCGATGAAAAGGGCAGTAAGAGATCTGGGGCTTCAAAAGCAGCAGCAACCGAACAGCCAGGAACAGCTTATGGTTATTCTTCGTATGCACAGCACGAGGCACCAGACCCAAACCAGAATTGCAGAGGCCCTTCTGCACAGAGGGAGGGAGGGAGAGAAAAGGCCAGTCACTCCGAAGAAATGAGAACAAATGCCAATTCACGTCCGTACAAGGCCAAGTTTGAATGTGCTGGGAAAGAATCTGTCAGGATAAACGACTTCAGACAGCTGATTGAGTGGTACTTACTCAATGAACTGGATACTTTTCACCACTGGAAAGAACTGGATCAGTTCATCAGTCCCTTTTTCCCGAATGGTGTCTTCAGACATGACCAGAAACTCTTCGCCGACTTTGTTGATGCCGTGAAAGGTTACCTTAAAGGAATAAAGGAGTACCAAGTAGAGGATGACAATTTGGAGAAGTTGGACGGATATATATATAGACACTTTGGGCACATTTTCACCCTTCCATTCGGACCCAGGTCTGTTTACATAAAACCATGTTACTATAATAGCTTCTAACAGTGCTACATTGCATAGTGTTTTTGTTTTTTTTTTTTTTTTTTTTTCACTTTGAGCTTTTTGGAAGGTTACTGTTTATAAGCTTGCCGCTGAAATTCAGAATAATCAAAGTTTTAAAATTTAACAATTGCAAACTGAAAAATCCATGTACTATGTAATCACTTAGGCTTGAACAGGTGATTGAATTTCTACCTTAAAAATTAGTTAAGGGTATATTGACTTATTTGAGCCAGTTTGGTTTCTTTCAGTATAATTTACATAATTAAGTGAAATTATTGCTCTTTCATCTTTGACTTAGGAAGCTAGAAACAAATAGATTTTAATGTGAAGTTGAAGTCTTGTGGAGCTGCCCCACAGAAATCATTGTTGGTTTTATGTGACAGTTAGGAGTAGTACTCATTGAAGGCTTACTATAGAGAAGAGTGATGGATGATCAGGAGCCACAGTATTTCATAATGTCCTTCATCTTTTATTCTGTAACTGCGAATGTGTGGTGTTTACCTCTGAGAGTCACGTAGTTCCATCTTTATGAATAAATGCAGTGTGCCTATAAAATAATGAGACTGGGTTCTGGTGTCTTTAGTTCCTGAAGCAGTCAGGTGTCTAGTGCTGTAATGAGCAGGCTTAGGCGGCTGCTTTGAGGAAACATGAACAACCTCTTGCTCTTTAGGGGTTCGGGGTGCACCGGTGGCATGAGGATGTAGTGGCCTCAGGCAGTCTGGAGATGGTTGGAAACGCTTCGTGATCGAAGTGACCTTGCATCTAAACTTGTTATGAACCCGGGTTTTGGAGAAGAAGTGAGGGTTAGTACGTGGATAGGAAGGGCCTCTCACTGGATGGAAAGTCATTGCAGAGGTGTGGAGAAACGAAGACATACTTCTTTACAGAAACAGGTGGGCTGGGGGGTAAACCAGGAAAGTCTCCGTTTTGTCCTGAAGCATCTGTCTTGTGAGGTGGAGAATTTCTGAAGGATTTTGTCATGGGGTGGGATTGTGCCTAGCCTTTTGGATGACTGGCAGCAGCCAGGAGGGTCGATTAGCAAGCTGTGAAGCCAACTGTGGTGGTCTGCACGTAAGAAGCTGATGAGGCGGTAAGGAAGAGCGAGATACTCCTCAAACGACTCCTAGTGACACAGCTACTTCTTGTGTAAGGGGAGTCGAGAGAAAGTGACTGCATGTCCGGAATGGCTTCACCTACATCTGGATATTGAGATTACTCCGAGAATGCCAGAAGAGGTACTAAGCAGAAGTGAGATGGTTTTGGAGGTGCCTGTTGACATGTATTTGGAGAGGAGTGGTTGGTAGTCCCTTGCACAGCAGTCTCTACTCAGACTCACTCCAAAGTCGGTCCCCATTGGAAGATCCAGTGCAGGGACACCGACATCTGTGCCAGTTAGAGAGAAGGTAACTAAGCAGGAAAAGACATGAACGGCAGGCAGCACAAGAGCCCAGAGATAGGAGTCACATGTTAGAGCTGAGGACTGCAGGGTAGTTGATGTGGTCTGTGTGTGAAGCCTGGTGGTAGAGTGCAGGGGAAGTTAGGGACTGCTTTGCTGGGCGAGATGCATGTATGTATTTCAGCTGAGATAAAGCCAGTGGACTGATGGAAACATCTCATTATTTTATTGTCACGTTCCTGTTCCTCATCACTCATTTGGTCTCCCCTTCCAGCCAGTGCAGGTGTCTTTATGTCTATTTTTTTCCTTTAGTGTTGAAAAGTAGTGATTTCCCCCTCTTTCCTGGTATCATAATAGAATTACATTTTATATTTTATTTTTTTGCAATGTTCAGATAGATTAATGGGGAAAAACATTAAGTTATTTTTACTTTTAGAAAACTGAACTCTAACATAGATAAAAAATGTGTTTACTACTTTCAGTCGACCTGATAAAAAGCAACGTATGGTAACTATTGAAAACTCCAGGCACCGAAAATCCGAGCAGAAGCACCTTCATCCCCAGCCTTATAAAAGGGAAGGTAAATGGCATAGATACGGTCGCGCTAACGGAAGACACACGGCAAGCCTTGAGATAGAGCTGGGCCAGTTACCTTTTGATCCGAAGTACTGACTCGTGGTTAAGTTAGGAAATTAAGAGATGTGGATGCTTTCTACTTTGTTTGGTGTTGAAATTCAGATGAAACGCCCAGGATGACTGTCTTTTCATTTCTAAAAGACTGGTTTGACGGCTTTAGATTATGCAAAAGCAAAGCTTACTAACTTGCAATTTCCCGTAGCTTAGGTTTGTTAAAAACAAAACTTTTTTTTTTTTTTGCCCTGAAAAAAAAAGGTAGTTTTATTAAGGAAGCCAGGCATGAAATATTCTATGCATGAAACAAGGCTTGGTTTGAGGAGCCGAGCTTACAGAAGCTCAGCTTTCTCGTACAGGGTGGTGAGTGCCGTCTTGAGGTGTGCAGTATGACTGGAGTGAGCTGAGGTGGGACTCCGCTCTAACATGTCTACTCTCCTGCTTTTGTCTCTCTGTGGGATCAAGAGCCCATTGGCTTGTGAGGAGCTTGCTGACTTGTTCTTGTGAACACTCTTGCACACCTCAACACTGTGGAAGAACAATAAACTGCACGTGAGGAAAACCAAAGGTCTCTTTCAAATCTGGCGTCGTGTTAGTGTTTTCCCAGAATGCCTCAGTGTAGTGTATGGTCCAGCTGTCCCCAAGTGGCTTCCTCTTCATGTCACGAATCTCCAGACGTTTCCCTCAGTTATGCCAACCTCTCTGCAGGCATCCTCACAGTTCAGTTCCCTCCTGTGTTGACTCTGCCAGTTAACCTTCGTTCGTAGACATGTATGTGACTTCCTGTTCGACCCTCTGGCCAGTGAGTATGGAAGAAAATAGCAGTCCTCTCATAGCTCCCCGAAGTGAGGAAGGCATGGATCTCCTAGGAGTAAATAAAGACATGGTTGCAAAGTGCAAGTTTCAAAGAATTGTAGACTTGCCAATGATACTTTCTCCTTTGCGACTTTTTCTTTTCTTTTCTTTTTTGTTTTGTTTTGTTTTTTGGTTTTGTTTTTTGAGACAGGGTTTCTCCGTGTAGTTTTGGTGCCTGTCCTGGATCTCACTCTGTAGACTAGGCTGGCTTTGAACTCACAGAGATTGGCCTGGCTCTGCTTCCCGGGTGCTGAGATTGACTTTTTTCTTCATGAATTCGAATTATGCAAGATTTCTCAGGAAAGGAGCAACTTCTGGCAGCTAAACATACATAGTGAGTTACAGAACTAGGGCTGATTTTACTGGGGGAGAGACCAATTATGGAATCATTGCAGTCATTCAGTTTGTCAACTTTACTGGATGAAGAACCCATTGTGGCCGGGCAGTGGTGACGCACACCTTTAATCCCAGCACTCTGGAGGCAGAGCCAGGTGGATCTTTGTGAGTTCGAGGCCAGCCTGGTCTACAGAGCGAGATCCAGGAAAGGCGCAAAGCTACACAGAAACCCTGTCTCGAAAAACCAAAAAAAAAAAAAAAAAAAAGAACCCATTGTGGGGTGGGGTGGGGGTGGGCCGAAGACGTAGCTCAGTTTTCACGTGAAGATCTGTACCCACATAAAATGTTGGGCATGGTAGCTGGGTGCAGTAGCACAGCACATGTCTCTAGGCCTGCCCAGCACTTGGGAGGCAGAGAGAGATGGATTTCTGTGAGTTCCAGGCCTGCCAGGGCTACACAGTGAGACCTGTCTCAAAAATAAACCAGGCATGGGGGCACGTAACACTGGGTCATTGGAGTTGGGGCAGGGTAGGAATCTGGGGGACAGCTGGCAAGCCATAGTAGTTATGCTCCAGGTTCAGTGAGAGATCAGGCTCAAAAAACTGAGGCAGAGAGGGACAGGAAGAGGCATCAGCTTGACCCTCTGGCCTTCCCACACGTGTGTGTACACAGGACCACGAATACACACGGAAGAAACAAGACAGGGCAGCGGTGCAGCACATCTGGAGAGTTCATGTGTCTTTAAAGAATTGGGGAGGACCTGCCCTGGATGTGGTGTGCTCCGGTCCAGTCCGAGTAAAGAAAAGGGGAGAGCAAGCTGACCCAGGACATTCCCCCTCTTTGAGATGCTGTTCCATGGCCCAGGCAGGCTCACATCCCTCCACTGCAGCTGCAACTGGGAAGCTGCTCCCACCCAGCACCCTGGCCCCTCTGCCATGATGTACAGTGTCCCCAACCTGAGCCACAGTAGAGCCTTTCTCCTTGAGTTGGTTTTGTCAGGTCTTTGGCCAGAGCCATCAGAGGAGGAAGTCATACAGGAGTTGAAAGGGATCAGTGAAGCCGATAGGTGCTAATCCAGTCTAAATGCTAAGTTGACTATTGCAAGTTCCGTACCTTCTCCAGGACACTGAACGTGACCAAGTGGCTGGGGAGTGATGCATTGCTCCGAAACTCCTGTTGTAGCCAGCTCGAGGGATTGAGGTAGAACACATCTGCTTCATCAAGATACTGAGTTTTTCCAGTCAAGTCTGGGGGACACCGGAGAAACCGCATGGACAGTGGGCAGTGAACATGGCTGTGTAGAAAAATCAAAATAGTTAAGCACCCCATGTTTCCATATAGTTTCAGGCTGGCCTTGAACTTGTGGGACCTCAGGCAGAACTGCCTTACCTGTAGTAAGGAGTGGAGTGGCAAGGCATCATGATGAACACGGAGGCTGAGGCTGGGTCAGGACCTCTGGGGCAGACGTGCTGAATGTGATTCATGACATCCAGAGTGCCTCTCTGATGAACGAGGCCAGTGTAGAGTGCCAGCAGCAGATTTGACAAGAGCAGGAAGCTCAGAGCTGCCTTCCGCCACGCCTTCAGGTGGGCTAGTGAGTATCCTGTGTGGAGATGGGTAGAGGGCAGTGGAACACGGCAGTCCTGCTTTTCTGTTAGCAGCAGATACATTTATCTGTAATTTTCCATGCAGACCGATAAGCCATGGTATTATTGTGTGGCAAACAGTGAATCAACTTCTGACCACTCTCCACCACTGTACTCTCAGGCAGGGACTAGCCTTTTGCTGGTGAGTGAAAGGTGTGGTGTGGGTAATGGCTGTTCAGTCTTAACTCGGCAGACATACAGTCTGAGGGCATCTGCCATCCTAAGATTTACAAGGGGGTTTCTTTCTAACAAAGGACAGTTGGAAGGACACAGTTACATGACTAACCTGGACTAAGAGCCATGATTTTCTTCCAGGAAGCACCACTGCATGTTCAGTCACACCCAGTTAGATCCCACCACCCAGGAGGTCTTTTTAGCTGCATGTAATATGGAGGTGCAGGTCTCATAAACATCACTCCAAGTGCCTACTTTGCTCCTATTACCTGGCCCTAAAAAAGGTGCTTCTGAGTGTGGTGCTGGGATGTAAGCGCCAGGATGCTTGCCTGGCTTCTGTCTGGTGCACAGGGTACAAACCACTCTATGTAAGTTAGCTTTGGGGATGCATGTGGGTTTTGTGTCGTTTTGAGATGTGTTTTTACTAGGTAGCCCAGGCTGGCCTCACACTGAAGATCCTCAGGCCTCGGCCTCTCAAGTACTGGGATTACAGACAGTACTAGCAATGCTGATAAATGTACTGGTTAGCGGACTGCAGAGGCTTTAGGTTTTGTTGTGTAGTATGACAATCTGCACTCTCCAGCAGTGACTTATCAGGGTGCTTCACGTAGTGGAGGGTGAGAAAAAAGCCCCAGCCTTCATTTGGTAATTCCATCTCCAGTGCTGTACAGTGGCAAGGACATCTAATTAAAAAAAAAAAAAAAAAAAAAAAAAAAAAAAAAACACTGGGTGGTGGTAGCACATGCTTTTAATCCCAGCACTCCTAAGGCAGAGGCAGGCTGATCCTTGAGTTCGAGGCCATACAGAGCAAGTTCCAGGACAGCCAGGCCTACACAGAAACCCTGTTTTAACAAACCAAGCAAACCCCCCCAAGGTCAAGGAAAAATGCCAATACCTTCTAGTACGGTCTGCCACTTAGAAGTACATGTTAACGTTTACATTTCTGAATACTGCTGGGAAGGCTGTTAGTGTCGGTGTTCACATGAGGAAAAAGGGGTTTATTTAGCTGAAGAACCAGTGGGGGAAGGGTGAGGCTGAGTCACTGGGCACAGACATAAGTACCAGGAAGTTTAGGTTGCTGCTCTGTTAAGGAAGTAAAGGTGTATTTTCACTGACCACAATGTCAATACTAAATCCTACAAGAAAGATCTTATGGTGGAACTATGAACATCAGACAGCAAAATTAAGAGACTATGTACATTGTGTGTGAGGTAGCACAGAGCAGTAATCCCAGCTAATAGGGAGGCCTAGGCAAGAGGGGTGCCAGTTCAAGGCTAGCCTGGGCAATTTAACTATCTTCAAGTTGAAACAGCTGCTTCCAGAGTCGAGTCCTAGTCTGGAACTTTGGTTTCTCCTCTTCTACCTCCCCAGTGCAAGGATTACAGGTGGTTTTTGTTCCCTTGAGACAGATCTTGCCCTGCGTTTAACCCAGGCTGGCCTTACCCAGCCGCAGTCCTCTGGCCTCGGCTGCTAGAGTGCTGGAGTACTCTCCCTGGCTTGTTGGCTTTAGAACACAGAGTCCGTCCTGAAGCAGTGCATGAGTATTGTTGATGGGCAGATCTGAACTCAGAACAAGTACTCTATGGGAAGTGAGGTCTCTAGTGGCCGGAAGGAAACCAGTGGACACTTAATACTTGTTGGCAGCTCATCACAAGTGTATCTCAGCACTTCTGCCTTAGGCAGTAGTAGCAGCTTCCAGTTACCATCAGAAACCAAGGCACAGTGCACACACTGAGGAACTCGTTATGCAATCTTACAGGATTGAGAGGAGTTCTGGCTAGGTGAGTGCCTAGAGACTGAAAACTTGCTGGTTTTGCACCTCTTGAATCTGGCCTGGCTTTTGACTTGCTGTGACGCAAAGACTGGGGGAAGGGTCTGCAGATTGCAGGCCCAGGCCGCCTCCCTTCCCAGTCTTCTCTTGGAACCCTGAAAGCAGCATGCATGAAGCTTCACCTGACCCGCTGGGCAGTGACAGGACCCAGGAGCTGATGTGTTCGGCCTACGGCTAGCCTGGTCCCACACATCTAGAGCCTTTCCTAGGCAGGCCGAGGGCCCTGTCCAGTCAGTGTGAGTGAGCACAGCTGAGATGTGGCTTGTAAGAATAAATGGCATTAAAAGTCACTAATTACACAGCAGTGGCTGACAGTTATATTTACATGAAATCAGGTTAAAATAGGTCACAAGAACAGAATAAGGCTTAGATTTGAAGTGTGTAAGAAAGACGTGATAATTCCCAGGAAAGCTGTGCATGGTAGAGCAAGCCTGGCATCCTGTCACTGGATGATCAGGAAGGAGTCAAGGCCAGCCTGGATGGCAGTGAGTTGCTACATACATGTTTCAGGCCAGCCAGGCACTGTCTTATCCCCTACCTCTGGCAAGAAAAGTGGACTGGCAGGTGCAGCCTTGTTTTATCTTATTGAATGCAGGAGAAAAGACATTTAGAAGCTAGGCAAGGGCTTACACCTGTGAGCCCAGCACTTGGTAGGTCGAGGCAAGAGGAGTTCAAGGCCAGCTGAATAGTGTGGTCTAGGTCAGCTCTGCCTGTATAATCAGGGAACACCGACAGATCATTAGATTACAAAAAGAAATCACTACAGTAAGTTTAATTATCAGAGTTTTCATTTAGCCAGGTCGGAAGTAAACAGCTCCTTGGGCACTGACTGTCTCTTGATGTTTGACCATTTTGAGACAGGACCTTGCTATCAAAGCCCAGGCTGCCCTTTCCTCTCCAGTACAGGGATTACAGCCATGCTGCCATGCCTTGGCTTCTTTTAACTATTTCTATCTTTTAGTGTATTCTGTATCAAACAAAATACTTACCACAGAACACCATGCAAAATGGTAAAACTGGATAGATAAACCTGAATTCTTTGTGGCCCAACATGCTATAACAAAGGATATTAAGGCAAAACATTAATTTTACACGAGTCTGAGATTTAAAATGAAATAAACATCTACTTATTTTTCAAGTATCTAAGATTGAATTTTTGTTTTAAGCAAATCATTTTTCAGTCAGCTCACACTAGCCCAAACTCTTGACACTTCTTGCTTCAGTCTCTGTTGCTGGCCTTGCTGGCATTACACCAGGCCTGGCTTCAGACTCAGGAGTCATACTCCTTTTTAAATAGAATGTGACTGTGGTTAAATAACGTTGGAGTGAAAATATAGTAATGTACACTTACAAAAATTATATGACCAATTAAGAAATAGTACTCAAATTTGGAATAAGGATACAGTCATGAAAAACGATTTTAAAATGTTTGTGTATTATGTGTGTTGGGGGTACTCATGCAGTAGGGGGCACTAAGGTCAGAGGAGCAGGACTTATGGGAGTTAGTTGTTTCCTACCATGTGGATCCTGGTGACGGCTCAGGACGTCAGGCTTGGTGAAGGTGCCTCTGTCTGCTGAGCCATCTTACCAGGTCCTCGTTTTGATTTCACAGTCAGGTGTGAATAGGTACTTGTCCCTGTCCTGGTCACCATATCATCACTATTCCTTTCATCTGACGTAACCTTTACTGCTCTATCCTAAGGAAGGAAGGGCCTGCTTCTGAGTGGTTCAGTAATCTCAGGAACATTAAATGTCCACGTACTTGAACGTAAAAGTCTTACCTGTACACCAGCACTGTCCACAGTATGGTCAGCAGTAGTATGTGGAGCCTCCGGGGGGCCAGGAAGCAGCCATGAATAAAGAAGGGTAAGTGTGTTCCCAGGACAACTGGAACCCCTTGACTGAAGTACCAGTGCCATGGATGAGAGCCATAGAATGTCCCCAAATTCTGCATCACGTTAAATTTCAAAAAATTAAACTGGACCAACGTCCACTGGTATAAGTAAAAGAGAAAACCAAACAAACAAAAGGGTTAGTGTCAGAAACTGATCTTGGACCTTTAGAGTATTAGACAGAATCATATTAAATGAGAATTTGAAAGTCAGGCAGCAGTCTTACATTAGCAATTCTGATCAATGACATGAATTCTTGTTAATACCTTTCTCCTTTTCTTTTTTTCTCAGGTAGGGCTTCTCTGTGCAGCCCTGGCTGTCCTGGAACTCACTCTGTAGACCAGGCTGGCCCTGATCTCAGAGATCACCTGCCTCTGCCTCCTGAGTGTTGGGATTAAACAGTGTACCACCACTGCCCCCGCTAATCATTTGTTTTTCTAAGTACTTGATGCATCTTTTGTTAATTTGTAAAACGCTAGGTGTTTAAGGTGAATCTCAAAAATTATGAATAGTCATTCATACTTATTTTGGTACTGCAAATTTTGTAGCCAATGAGAAGATAATTTTTTTTTTTTTTTTTTTTTGGTTTTTCGAGACAGGGTTTCTCTGTATAGCTTTGCGCCTTTCCTGGAACTCACTTGGTAGCCCAGACTGGCCTCGAACTCACAGAGATCCGCCTGGCTCTGCCTCCCGAGTGCTGGGATTAAAGGCGTGCGCCACCACCGCCCGGCCGAGAAGATAATTTTTAAAATTGATTTTTCTTTTAATTATATGTATGTATGTGTGTGTATATGTGTGAGTGTGTGTGTGTGTGTGTGAGTGTGTGTGTGTGTGTGAGAGAGAGAGATAGAGAGCGAGAGCCTACAGTTGTTCTGAGGTAAGAAGGTGTCAGATTCTTTGGCGCGATGAAATTACAGGCAGTTGTGAGCAGCTCCTATGTGGGGCTGGAGCTCCAGCTTGGGTCCTCTGCAAGAGCAATATTTGCTCCTCACCTCTGAGTCATCTTTCCAGGTCCAACAGAGGATTTTAAAAATCAGTTGTTTCGGCCGGGCAGTGGTGTCGCACGCCTTTGATCCCAACACTCGGCAGAGCCAGGCGGATCTCTGAGTTCGAGGCCAGCCTGGACTACAGAGTGAGTTCCAGGAAAAGGCACAAAGCTACACAGAGAAACCCTGTCTCGAAAAAACAAACAAGCAAGCAAACAAACAAAAAAATCAGTTGTTTCAGCCAGGTGTGGTGGCACTGGCCTTTAATCCCAGCACTTGGGAAGCAGAGGCAGTCCTGTCTCTTGAATTCAAGGCCAGCCTGGCCTACAGAGCGAGTTCCAGGACAGCCAGAGCTACACAGAGAAACCCTATCTAAACGCCCCCCCCCAAAAAAAAAGTTAGAGAATCTATTCCATAAAGTTGTCCCCTCACCTCCAAACATCCTCCCTGACATGCACACAAATAATAAAGAATTAAAAAGCAATGGATTTTTGTTTGTCCTTGTTTTTTGAGATAGGTATTCTCTGTGTAGCCTTGGCTGTGCTAGAACTCAGTCTGTAGACCAGGCTGGCCTCAAACTGCCTGCCTCTGTCTCCCTGGTGCTGAGATTAAAGGTGTGTGCCACCACTGCCCGGCTAAGAAATGAATTCCTTAAAAAAAAAAAAAAATTAAGATGTTTTACTTTAGACAGTGTTTCATGATGTAGTCCTGGCTGGCCTTGAACTGGTGTTTTTCCTAGAATTAGAGGCATAAGCCACTACATCTGGCTTTAAAATGACTTGTAAGCATACATGTGTGGCACTCACATTAACAGTTTTACTCTAGTGCCTTATGCTGCCAATCTTTACCTGGTATGGTACAATGCTCTCAGTGTTACAATTTGAATTTTAGTAGAACGCAGATACCAAGGACGGCAACAGCAACACTCTGATGAGTATCTGAAATGCTCACTCATAGCCAGAACTGCTGTGAGTACTCTGTATGCAGCACCTCCTAGAACCAACCTTTGCTTAGGAAATCGGAGCCACAGTCATTTCCAGATACGGTATGGCAGGAAAGTGTGAGATTTGCCAAGATCTCACAGCTAATAATAAATCTCTAGGCTCCAAACCAGAGTGGCACCTCAGTACCCAGTGTGCCTTTGGGGCCGAATATAAAGCAGTGGAAGGCTGCTGCCCACACTTAGGGAGCCTGTGTTGCAAGGCAAACGATTGAAGGAGAGAGTTTTTCGGTTGACAGGATTTCTGGATGACTAAGGGTCAAAATCATTACACATCAAGATGTGTGTCGTGGACACCACTGCAGAGGACACCAAAGAACAGACCAGTAGTGATGAAATGGATTCCATTATAACTATAAAAAAAGGTTTGCTTCTGTTAAAAGTGTTAATGGGTCTGTTTGTGTTCTGAGACGGGGTCTCTTGTAGCCTGCGTTGGCCTCCACCTCGCTGTGCAGCTAGGGATAACAACGTGGACCACCTGATCCTCCTGCCTCCTTGGTGTGAGATTCCTGGTGTGCACCACCACACCAGGCATGTATCCTCACACCCAGACTGAAATACAAAAGCATCAAAAGTCCAGCTTGAGGTTTCAGAGCAGTAAATGGTTAAAAATAGCCTTTAGCTTAATCTGTTTTTACTTACTTGGCCAAAAAAGATACGATCAATTATCAGAGACAAACTGAAGGTTATAAATCTGAAAAACAAAGTAGAATGGTTACTCACATTTGAACCTGCTGAGTTCCAGTCCAATGCCTTGTACCAACACCACTTTAAAAATGCTTTACAAGTCCACCAAGTGTGGGTTCATACATTTGGAAAGATCCTTCACTGATGACAAGATGCACTTAAGCAACCTTTATTAAAAAGACCACTATTTCATCTATTCTTGAATAATCAACCTGTCAACATAAAGATATGAATACTTATTATTCAAAGTTCCCAGGGTTTAAAAAGCTCCACATAGCCAGGCGGTGGTGGCACACGCCTTCAATCCCAGCACTCGGGAGGCAGAGGAGGCAGGTGGATCTCTGTGAGTTTGAGGCCAGCCTGGGCTACAGAGTGAGATCCAGGAAAGGCACAAAGCTACACAGAGAAACCCTGTCTCAAAAAACAAAAAACAACAACAAAAAAAGCTCCACATGTCATTGGTTCCATGTATATAAGAGATGAGCTTCCCAGCTCACAGGGCTGCCGGCCGCTTCACTGCCATCCTGCCTCTAAGACTGGACTGTCTTCCTGTGTGTGCTGCAGTTCATTCATTTACAAGGCAGTGTATGGAACTGTGTCTGTCACACTGCTCTTACTCTGTTTTAGGACACTCTCCATTTTTAGTTATTTAGAACACTAGCTACAGACAGTGTCATAGTTCTCACCAGCTGTCAACTTGTCACACCTGAGAGAACCACAATTGAATTCTCTCCATCAGATTGACCTGTGACACATCTGTGTGGCATTTTCTTAATTGTTAACTGAGGTCGTAGTATGTGTCCACTGTGGGCAGGGCCACCCTTGGGCCCATAGGCCTAGGCTGTGTAAGAAAGGTAGCTGAGCAAGCCAAAGAAGCAAGCTGGCAAGCTGCATTCCCCCCAGCTTTCCTTTCTTCTTCAGTTCCTCCCTCCAGGTTCCTGCCTTGGCTTCCCTGGGGGATGGACTATAATTGGTAAGCTGTAATCAACCCTTTCCTCCCCAAGTTGTTTTTGGTCAGTGTTTATCACAGCAACAGAAAGCTAACAAGGAGATACAGCCATATAATTTGTTTCTTTTTTGAGACAAGGTGGCTGTCCTAGAACTCACTGTGTAGACCAGGCTGGCCTCAAACTCAGAGATCCACCTGGCTCTGCCTTCGGAGTGCTGGGATTAAAGGTGTGTGCCACCAGGGTGGGCCAAATCATGCAAATTTAAGTGTTCATAATATGTACTTTTGTTGAGTAGACATACTGCTGGTGTAAGCAATCAGTTTATCAAATATTTTGTTTTCCAAAATGATGAATATCACTTTACAGTGGGCAGGCAGTATTGAGAACTGTAGGCTTAGAGGATGGCTATGATTTGATTAGGTAAGAAAATGAGTTAGAGTAACTAAGGATACAGAGAGTAAGCAGGGCACAAGACAAGACAACGACCAACACTATTCAGAAGGTAAGGAGAAATAAATGTAAGGTGCAGAATAGGCACCTGGGTTTGGTTTTCATTTTTGTTTTATGAGATGGTTTCTTGGGTCAAGAGGATATTCTGTTGGGCCTGGAGGAGACATTGCCTTACAGCAGTGGTTCTCAACCTTCCTAACGCTGCGACATTTTAACAAAGTTGCTCATGTGGTGAGGTGGCCCCCAACCAGAAAGTTATTGTTTGCTAATTCATAACTATAATTTTGCTATTGTTATGAGTCTTAATGTAAATATCTGATGTGCAAAATATCTGATATGTAACCCCTGTGCCCCTGTGAAAGGGTCATTCAACCCCCAAAGGGGTTAAGACCCACAGGTTGAGAACCACTGTAAAATTTTACAGTGAGAGCTATACTGTTTTTGGAGATTTTCTTTTAACTTATGATTGGAAGTAGGTTCAACATTTTTTTTTTTTAACTTTTTTTTTTTTTTTTGTAAGTTGTTAGGTATGGTGGTTCAAGGCCATTATTCCAGAAATTGGGAGACTGAGGCAGAAGGGGGTCTTTGAGTTCAAGGCCAGCCTGGTTAACATAGCAAATCCCAGGCTAGCCAAGGCTTCAGGGTAAGACCATCTCAAAAACAAAACAACAACAATACAAAAAAGGCCAGGGCTAGTGGCACATTTTTTTTTTTTTTTTTTTTTTTTTTTTTTTTTTCCAAATAGGGTTTCTCTGTGTAGTTTTGGAGCCTGTCCTGGATCTCACTCTATAGACCAGGCCAACTTCGAACTTACAGAGATCCACCTGGCTCTGCCTCCCAGGTGCTGGTATTAAAGGCATGCACCACCATCGCCCAGCTGTGGTACATGTTTTAATTCCAGCATTCAGAAGGTAGAGGCAGGCTTGGGCTACATGGTGAGACCCTGTCTCAAAAAGCAAAAACAATAAAAAACAACAAAAATGACTTTCTGTTTGTGGACCCTACTTTTCCGCCGGTCCAAGTGCTTTTTTGCATTGTTTCTAAGTCACCTTGGAAATTGTATGTCCTCCTAACATTTTCCCTCTGAAGATCTTTAGTCTTTTAGTCTTTGAGCACTGGGCTCTGGCTGAATATTCGGCAATGCCCTAGAGGCCAGGCCTGGTACAGGGGTCTGTGGCCCCAGCTACTCACAAAGCTGAGGCAGGTGGCGAACCCCATGCTCTGCTGGGCAAGGTACACCCCGTGGCTCAGAGGACAGTTTGGGTTTGTACTGGATGCTGTAATAGGTGTCATATCTTGGAACTCACACTGTTTAACAGTTGCTGTCTCACTGGCTTTGCTAATTTTAAATTTCTCCAGGCTTCCGTTTACTATAAAATAAGAATGCCAGCATCACTTACATCCAAGAACCTCATGAGGTCATATGAGCAAAACTGTTATAAGGTCTTTAATAAATAACAGAAAAGTTTAGGAAATAAAAATGGAAATTCTAAGAAATAGACACTTTGTTTAACCGAAATACAATGCAGTTAATCATTCTCATAAATCTAAAATGGAATACTGGGCCAACAAAATGTCTCAGTGGTGTTTGCCATAAAAGCCTGATGACCTGAGTTCAATTCCTGGAGCCCATATGGAGAGAACCATGTCTGTATGCCTTTCAGCACTCCCACATGGGTGTCTAAAAAATCAGAAACAGAGTTGGAAGTTTTCTGTGACATCAGATACAGTAATTAGCTGAAGGATACAAAACCTTTCCAACAGTCTGTCATTTAGAGGTTAGTAAGATGTTACAGATGGCACCACAGCCAGACTTACCCCACAGGTAAAAAATGATGCAGGACCAGATGGAGCTTTCTCTGTTCTTGGTAGAAATGTCTGAAGAGTAGCGGCACCCATGGGATCAGAGCTGTGGGGCGGATGAGGCAAGCCAACGCAACCAGGAGCGGGTACCTGACACTAGGAGCAAGGAATGGTGGTTACAGGAAACGGAGCTTCCACTTAGTCGGCTATTTCCACTCGGAGAGAACTGTGGTGTGGGGGCGTTTGAGACAGGGTCTTATTTATATAGCTCAAGCTCACTTCATACTTTCAACTCTCCTGCCTCAGCTTCCCAGGTGCTGTGGTTCCAAACCTAGCTTAGCACTCTCAATCAAGTAAGAAGCAGATTCTGCCAGGCGGTGGTGGCTTTAATCCCAGCACCCCAGAGGCAGGCAAGTTTCTGTGAGTTCAAGGCCAGCCTGGACTACAGAGTGAGTTCCAGGACAGCCAGGGCTACACAGGGAAACCCTGTCTCAAAAAAAAAAAAAAAGAAAAGAAAAAGAAAAACAAAACAAAAGACCAAAAGACTATAAAACAGGGAGTTTAGAGACCTTGGACTATAAAGCACAACCAAACAGCCCGTTCCCTGAAACTGCCTTGGAGCCTCCATCTCCTAATTGTCTTACGTGACGAAATATCCAGGACTATAAAGTGAGGTTCTGCCTTTGCAGGAAAGAAACTGTCTTTGTACAAGACCCAAGCCTATCTCTCTCGGTACTTTTTTTTTTTTTTGTGCGTGTGTGTGTGTGTGTGTGTGTGTGTGTGTGTGTGTGTGTGTGAGGCAGGCTCTCTATGGGGCCTTGGCTCTCCTGGAACTTGGTACTTAGATGAAGCTGGTCTCAAACTCAGAGATCCACCTGCCTCTGCCTCCCTAAGTTCTGGGACTAAAGGCATGTGCCAGCACACCCAGCTAGCTTTTAGTACACTCTTTTAAAATCAGGTTTGACTCTGGTGATTTTCTACTATGTGGAGAAGAAAACCCAAGGTGCGGAGCCGGGCCTGGTCCCACCCCAGCCTCAGCCTCGCTTGCTCCTCCCTCCCACACACTTGCTCCCCACACCACCTGCCTAGAGCCTGCAGCTCTCTCGGCTCCAGGCCTCTGCTCAGACACTTCTCTCTGCTCGGTCTGGGTTTTGCCGATTCGGATCTGCTGACCCTCACCCGGGCTGCTCGGGACCTGCGGGAACACTGAGCCTACCTTGCTTCTGATGGCTTAAGGGGACTTTAAGGCAGTCACCATGAGTGTGGCTGGCTGACTCCTCACCATTGCTAAAGGCTGGCTATGCCTATCTCCCATGGGGACCTTCAAGCAGAGCTTTGCAAGGGTCCCGGTACTCTTTCCTCTGGTCCTTTGGAGCCCATTGATAACAGGCTGCCACTTCAGTGAGCTCTGGGCACTACAGGATTTCCTAAGCACTGTTCACACTTTGTAGCCAGCCCTTTTATTAGCTTCACCATGCAGTGTGACTGTTTCCTGTTTCCCTCATCGAGAACACGTGGGGACCTACTGGATATAACATGTTGATACTTAGGCTTTTCAAAAGCACCTCTGAGAGGTTTGTCTGGACTTATTAACCTTTGTCTTACCTGCTTCTGGACCTTGAGCCTCCCAGAGGGTAGTAGGAAAGGGCAATTACAGTGAGGGTGGTCTCCATGGTGTTCGTGAGGGTTCGGGTACAGCAGTACCACGTGAACCAAGAGCACAGCTGGCAAAAGAACTGACAAGTCAGGGGTGAGTGCAGCTGCCGTAGGAAACGGGAAGCTAAGTGTTCTCCTCTGTAGAAAGCAGGAGTCCCAATGCTGCAGAAGCTTCGTCAAGGGACACGTCTCAGTAGACATGGCCAAATGCTGCTCTTAGCCTGTGCCACACACGGCTCTGAACAGCAGGTTTGCGATTCTTAATGCCAAGTCAGCAGTGCTTTCGCGGGCTTTTTCATGGCCGGCCTCTGACTTAACTCTTACTTTCCGTTAATGAAATACCTGCAACACAGACACTGTGGTGCAGGTCATATGGTATTGATGCTCCCCACTAGACCAGCCAGCCAGTGCTCCACCTCCTGCCTCACAGTGGCCGGACTGGAGCATCTATTCATATTGATTTGGAAATGCTGCCCATTTCTTCCTCCTCCTCCTCTTTGTGTGTGTGTGCACATGTGTATATGTATATATGTATATAAATGTATGTATGTGTATATGTATACATATGTGTATTTTTTTATGGGTAAGAATTTTGCTATATAGCCAAGGCTGAGCAGGAAGTTGCTTAGTAGCACAGTAGTCTGCTGTTTTAGGAACCATTTGCCCCACACATGCTCCGTAAAGTGTCTAAAGGGTTTGGACTTACCACCCATCGGGCCACCTCCTGTTTTCCCACTTGCTTCATGAGCGAGTAAAGCCTTACATCCGCTACAGCAGACAGAAGAGCTTGGGCCAGTCTGGGAATCCAGATCTTCAGTAGTTAAAAGGAAAACAGGTGTTAAGCACACCATCCCGGTTCATACTGAAGTGCCATGAAAATAAACACCTAACCATCAACAATATCCATCTCCATATTCACTCCTCCGCTTTCGGTGTGTGCTTAGCTGGCTGGCTCTTGCTTGCAATCCCACCCCCTGGCTTTTGGAAAGGCTTTGCTATGTAGCTCAGCTGGCTTTGTCTTTGCTTTTCCTGCCCCAGCACCCCCAAATATTGGGATTTACAAGTGCAAAGCACCATACCCCACTTGCCCACTTTTATATTTACATCTTACAGCACTAATTCTCTTTTGTAATAGTTGGTATTGAACCTAGGGCACATGCCTGTTAGGCAAGTGTTCTACCACTGAGCTCCTCTTGAACAGCTTGCAAACCATTTTATTGTGTTAAGATTCTATTTTAGAAGCGTACGGTAGGTTTTGTTTTTAAGTCAGGCATTTACAGTACTACATGCTGGGTATCACAGCAAGTGTGTTACATGTATCAGCTCCTTCCTTACAACAATCTGCTGAGGCAGGAACTGTTTAATACATGAGGAGACCAAGGCACAGAGAGGTTAGGTGATGTGCCTAAGGCGCTAGCGCTAGTTAGCCCTGATGCCTGGATTCAGACCAAGGTAGGCTTGATACCACGGCCTGTGCTCTTAACAATAAAAGTTTTAAAATCCAGGGCTGGAGGGATGGCTAGCGGTTAAGAGTGCTTGCTGCTCTTGCAGAGGACCCACGTTTAGTTCCTAACACCCAGGTCAGGCAGCTCACAGCTGCCTACCAGCTCCAAGGCCTCTGAACCTTTCTTCTGGTCTCCAGCACCAACGTTTGTGTGTGCCAAGTACACATGAATAGATGAATCTTTAAAAAAAAAAAAGTTTTTTTTTTTCAAGATGGCCTTAGACACTGCAAAGAGAAGGGAGTTTGTTTGTTTTTGTTTTTTCAAAATAGCCTCAGACAGTGCAAAGAAAAGGCACAGTCCTGTGTAAAACAAGCTAATCCAGAGCCTCAGTCTTTCTAGACTCCACATAGCACCTCAGAATTGGACTTCCTTTGGAACACTGGGTCCTAGCTTTCCCTGACTGGAAGGAAACAGTCCAAACTCCTGGGTCCACCTTGACGACAGTCTAACAGACCTTCAGGGCTGGGATGTACCTCAGTGGGACGTGTTGGCATGCCCAAGGACTTGGTTTGGTTCCCTCCTGCTCCTCTGCCAAAGGATCTTAAAATATGAGTCAGACTAGGCAGACTTTTCTCAGGTCCTGTGTGAAGCCTCCTCCTAATAGCCCCCAGTAACCCATCATCTAGAAACTACAGTCTTATTACACAGCACAGTGATGATACAGGTCATTAAGTTTCTGTCACATTCATTTTCTCCCTGAATCCAATGAATCAAAACAATATGTAAAATAGTTAATTCTGCTGTCGTTAAACTGAGTTCTCACAGCAGACTTTCCCGTCGACTGTTATTTGTGTGTGCTTATGTGTGTGTGCACACAAAGATGCCAGAGGATGTTTGACCTCTTCCTCTGTCACATGTTCCTTTTGAGGCCAGCTCTCTACCTGTCCTGGGGACTGGGGTTTTGCACGGTGGAGCACAACCCAAGGATAATCTTGTGTCTACCTCCTCCAAGCTGGGGTCACAGGTATTTGCAGGGACACGTAGCTTCTCTCATGGGTGCTGGGACCCAAACTCTGGTCTTCATGGTTGTGTAGCAAGGGCTCTTCACCTTGAGCTAGCTAGCTCTCCAGCCACTCCCTTTTATTTATGTACCTTTTAATTTATATTTTTATTTTATTCTTAAATACATTGAAGAGTTCTACATCACAGTGTCTTTGGTACAGTGGGCTTCCCAGATAAGGCTGGACTTTAGCAACAATAGCCTTTGGAAACAAGTTTTGTGAAACTAAGAAAGTCATTCATTTATTACCAATTAACTTTTGAAAAAGAAAAATATACGATTTAACAACAATTTTGGTCATTTTAATTTAAACTTACCAGCAGTTGAACACTGTCTTTCCCCAAGAGATGCAGAATCTTGTAAATGCTCGCAAAGATGAGGGGGTAAGTGTAACCCCTCAGTCTCTCCGTCCATTCCCAGGTCAGATAGCCATAATTACTAATATCAAGGACCAACTGTCACACTGTATTGAAACAAATTAATCTACACTTCTATATATAAAGCAATATTTTATTCTTTGACAATGTTTTTAAGCAGTTTTTTTGTTCTGGTGGTGGTAGGAATTCAATCTCCAGCCTTGGATATGCTAGGCAGGTAATATACCACTAGACTGCACCTTAATCCTTAAAACACAGGGTTTTATATTGAATATTGAATATTTGGTCAACTAATATCTTAATTTCCTCAAGTTAGAAATGTGTTTCTTGGGCGCTTGAGTGAGTGTGAGAGAGAGAGAGAGAGTGAGTGAGAGAGAGTGAGAGTGAGTGAGAGTGAGAGTGGAAAAAAAAAAAAGAAATGTGTTTCTTGAGCCCGGCATGGTGGCACACACCTTTAATCCCAGCACTCGGGAGGCAGAGGCAGGCGAATCTCTGTGAGTTCGAGGCCAGCCTGGTCTACAGAGTGAGTTCCAGGACAGCCAGGGCTGTTACACAGAGAAACCCTGTCTCAAAAAACCAAATTTAAAAAAAAAAAAAAAAGAGACTATGGTAAAGGATATCTGAAAACCATGTGGTGTGCAACTTCAAGAGACTGCCAGTACTCATCGGGGACAAAACTTGTCTGGACGAGGAAGCAGTTAAACACTCGTAGAGCGATGGTAAACAAGACCAGGTGAGTGTTTTCTCCCAGAAGATCTGAAAAGCAAAGCAAAGCAGTAATTGGTCTTAAGTCAGGCAGCTCCTCTTCAGATGCACCCCTGTAGTGTCTGTCCCTGGCTCTGTTAGGGCCCTCCACACCACTCCACAAAGGTCATCTGGGTAAGTGATGTACTGGACCGGTTGCCGAGTTAGCTAAGGGTGGGACTCCTGCCTAGCCTGCTTGAGGTCCTGAGTGTGTTCCCTAGCCATGTGTGGAGAACACCTCCCACCATCGCAAAAACAGGCACAAACCCCGGTAGGGGACAGACACACCCCCACACCCCCCCTAGCTCCCCCCCACACACCCCTACCTGTTAACCACTGGTGATTCCTTTCTGAACCTCCGTTTTACATGTGAGGAAGCTAAGGCTCAGAAACTTAAACTGCTTTGCCCAAAATAAAAATGCTGTTACTGACTAGGTAGTATTCAAGCCCAGGCCGGTTGGCCACCTCCAAGGTTGGCTCTCCCCAGTGGACAGGCGGCCTGCATGCTGAATACAGAGTGTTCAAAGTTTTCCGCTTTAGTTGCTAACAGTGTGTGGGGGGTGGGGGGAAATGGGGGGGAATCAGATTTTACGTTAAAATCTGCTATGCCAGGTGTGATGGTGTCATCACCTCATGACAATGGGGAGGCTGAGGCAGGAGGATTGCGGCAAGTCCAAGCACAGCCTGCACCACATAGCAAAGACACTATGCAGCGAGCCTCTCTCAGCTCGTTTCCACCGAGGTGCACAGCCCACCAGGCCGCAGACGCCAGGAACCATACATACGCTCTGCGGAGCACCCCGCACTCACCGCGGCGCCGCGAGCGCTTCTCCTGCGTGTTCACGTACAGCGTGGACTTCCTCTTCCGCAGCTTCATCTCTCCGGGGCGGCTGTGGAGACTGCGGCAGGCCGGGCCGTGGTCGCCGGCCTCGGGCTCCATCTCCTCCCAGCCACCTGCAGCCCCTGCGGAGCCCGCCCGGCAGCCTTCTTGCCGGCGAACGCGCACCACTAAGATTGGGCCCCGCGAGCCGCCGTCGTGGGGCTGCCCCCAGCACCACCACAGCCGGAAATGCGGCCGGAAGCGGCCGAGTCTCTAGGCGGCGCAGGGTTGCACCTCCCTGGCTGGAGTTCAGTCTCGGAAAAGACAGAAGTCAAGACTGGACGCCTTACTGCTCCCCGCCGAGGAGCGCGTGGAGGTAACCGAGCGGAGGGAGGCAGTGAAGTGCCGAGACCCAGGGTGACCCCGGCGCTCACCCCACACGCCGCGCCCTCGCGTGGGAACAGTTCCGTCAAGGTTCTTACAGCGACAGCAGAAAGTTATACGTCAGTGATTTTTTTTAATTAAAGGAAGTTTTTTTTTTAAAGAAGATTAATTATGTATACACTGTTCTGCCTGCAGGCCAGAAGAGGGCGCCAGATCTCACTTTACATGGTTGTGGGCCACTCTGTGGTTGCTCGGAATTGAACTCATGTCCTCTGAATGCTCGAGCAGCCAATGCTTTTAACCTCTGAGCCCCACGTCAGTGAATTTTTTATTATTAAGTCTGTTTTTCACCACCCCAGGGGATTTCTCTATCCCAAATTACTTTTTCATCAATTTATTTATTTTTTTTTTTCTTGCGTTGATGTCGCTATGTAGATTAGTCTGGCCTTGAACTCAAGAGATCCTCCCGAGTGCTGGGATTTAATGCGTGCACTATCACACTCTGCCTCATCTTTTTATCTGTCTTTGTGACAGGGCCTCACTGTATAACCCTGCCTGGCCTGGAACTCGCTATGTAGACCAGGCTGGCCTCACACTCACAGAGTTTGTCTCGGCCTCATGAGTATTGGGGATCAAAGGAGTCTGCCACCATGCTCAGCAATCAGAGCATTAAAAAAGCAAAAAATAGTTGTTTGGGGCTGGAGAAATGGCTCAGTGGTTAAAAGCACTGACTGCTCTTGCAGAATTCCCTGTACCCACACACCGACTTGGTGCCTCCAAGGGCACCAGGCATGCATGCCCCTGCAGATACGTACATGAAGACGAGCACTCATACACATAAACTAAAATTGAATAAATCTTTTAAAAATTCGTTGGTAGAAACGTCAAGTAGATGGCATCTGTGCTTCAGGCCTCAGATGCCCTCTGCTTACATTTGTAGCTTTTGGGTTGGTGGGAGGGAGGGGCTTCCACCTGATAGTTATAAAGATGTTTGGTCTCATAGAGATGACTTAAACAAAAGACTATGTAGGGGGTTAAAGATAGCACAAGGTAATTTGGCTTGGGGCCTGCAACATCTTGGTTCTGCATAGTCACTAGTTCTAATCAGTGACTTGTCTTCTAGAGTGTTTAACAGAAGTGTTTTGTTTTTGTCCTGGAAACTTCAGTACATGAAACCCAAGGTTCAGGGGTGCGGGGGTGGGGTCGCGGATTACTGAGCAAAGTGAGGTTCAGAAGACTCATATTTAACAACAACAAAGAAAAAACCCCAAAACAAACAAACAAACAAACAAAAAACAGTGCATGAGAAACAGTTTCAAATGGCCTCTGGCTTTTGTTCCTTTTTTTGTTTTTAAACTCTTCGCTGGGCTGGAGAGATGGTTAAGCACTGGCAGCCCTTCCTGAGGTCCTGAGTTCAATGATTTGCATTTGATGTCTCCTAAATATCAAAAGGAACTCAACCAAGTTTTTGTTGTTGTTTTGTTTTATATTGCTTTGCTCTTTTGAGGTAGGGTCTTACTATGTAGCCTTGGCTGGCTTGGAACTCGCTATGTAGACCAGACTGGCCTCAAACTCACAGAGCTGTGTTGTGCCTCCCCCATCTCCCACACAGTGCTGGGATTAAAGGCACTCACCACCATTCCTGGCTCAATAAAGTTTTATAGCCTCTTAAAATTGTTTTTGTCATAAAGCTTGCTAAAATTACAACTACTGCAGAAGGAATGATGGGAAGTCATTTGTCCCCTCTCTTTTTATCCCTTAGAGAAGGTTAAAACAGACAGTCACGGCTGACTTCCCTTCAGGTGTCTTTTGGAGTCAGAAGTTTTGCATGACTTGAAAGGTGGCTGCCATCCCTTCCCATCCTTTTGCCCTTTTAAAAGGTACCAGTTTAGTGGCATACGCCTGTCATCCTAGCCGTTGGGAGGCGAAGGCAGAATTGTAACCTCAGAGCAGTCTGCCCAGCTCAGAGAACCAGCAAAAACAGGCAACCAGGACAGAAAACACCTCAAGGACCATTCTGTAATAGAAGGGTCTTCAGCCATCTCACAGCACTGCCTGACCTTCCTTCCCTACAGCTTCCTTTTTAGGGGTTTGTTGATTTGCTTTGCTTTTTGTTATGGCATCCAGACTGGCCTCAAACTGGCAAAGTAGCCAAAGGGGGACCCTGAGCTCCCAATGCTCTGGGCTGAACCTGAGTGCTGGGAATATGGGCATGTGCTACTGTGCCTGGAGGAAATACAAATTTTAATATAAAATATGATTTTTAACTATTGGCAACTAAACTGAAATCTTAGAAAATATTTCATAGTAAGTCTATATGCTGTCCTGCAAACCCCTATGTATTTGTATTTATTAGTGATTCTGTATGTTTGTTTGTTTGTTTTTCAAGACACGGTTTCTCTGTGTATTTTTGGCTGTCTAAGAACTGGCTTTGTAGACCAGGCTGGCCTAGAACTCAAAGAACCATCTGCCTCTGCCTCTCAAATGCTGGGATTTAGTTTGTGATTTTTTTTGTTTTGTTTTTCCAGATAAGGTTTCTCTGTGTACTTTTGGAGCCTGTCCTAGAACTCGATCTGTAGACCAGGCTGGCCTCGAACTCACAGAGATCTGCCTGCCTCTGCCTCCCGAGTTCTGGGATTAAAGGCGTGCGCCACCAACGCCCAGCTAGTTTGTGATTCTTAAATATTACAAGAACATTCACACCAGAGTAAAATAGTAATAAATCTTTTAGAGTGCACTTGTGGGGCTGGAGCCCTGGCCCTGGGGTTAAGAGTGAGCACTGCTCTTCCAGAGGCTGGCAGTTCAGTTGCCCGCACCTGTGTTGGACAGCTTACAACTGCCTGTCACTTCTGCACCAGGGACCCTGACACTTTCTGACCTCCGAAGGCACCTGCACTCCGGTGCACACCCCTCCCCATGCTCCATCCTTTAAAATAAAATCTGTTTTAAAGGCTCCTGTACTAAGTGGCCCTTTTTGTCCCCTTTCTTTGGAAACAGATCTGAAGAGGTTGGCTGTCCGCGGAGCATAGCCCCCCAGAGACTGGTCACTGCGTGTCACAGCAATGCTCCGGAGAGTGACTCTCCCGCAACTGGTGTTCGCTACCTTCCTTGGAATTGCTGGAGGAGTGTATATTTATCAGCCGATATTTGAACAGTATTCCAGAGAGCAGAAGGAATTCAAAGAAAAGGTGAAATTGTTGCAGGAATCAGAGGAAAAGAGGACCTGATTCTACATGAAGTGAAGTTGTGGGCACTGCTTACCATTCTGTTGAAATTACACCTGGACTGTTAATCTAGTAAAAACTTAGGTACATTTTAAATAAATAAATCATGGGCGAAGGATTTAAGTTATTATTTACTTATTTATTATTTTTGGTTTTGCTTTTTGAGTCAGGGTTTCTCTGTGTAGCACTGGCTGTCCTGGAACTCGCTCTGTAGACCAGGCTGGCCTTGAACTCAGGGATTCTCTTGCCTCTGCCTCCTGAGTGCTGGCATTAAAGGCCTGCGCCACCACTGCCAGGTGATTTAAGTTATTTATAACATTAGTTCTTTGTTGGTTTGTTTCAGGGCAAGAGTTCACGTTGTAGCACAGGCTGGCCTCAAGCTCTAAGCAGTCCAGCCTCAGCTTTACAAATGCTTAGATTATAGGGGTGTTGGCATTTGTTTTTTAGACAGGATCTGGCCTCAAACATGCAGTCTTGCCGCCGGTGCTGCTGGTGTTACAGAGTATTCCCACATGTGATTAAATAAGACACTTCATTTGAAAAAGTGTCTTATTTCTTTTTAGTTCTACATAATTATGTGTGCTTCATGGGGGTTATGTGCACATGAGTGCAAGTGCCTCTGGAGGCCAAAGTTGTTAAATACCCTAGAGCTGCAGTTACAGATGCTTGTGAGCTGCCATGTGGGTCCTGGAATTGAATCCAGGTCCTCTGTAAAAGCAGATGTGCTCTTCAGTGCTGGGCCATCTCCAGCCCCAAGATATTCCACTTTCATGTTCACTGATTTATTTGCTGCTTTATGTCTTAACGGGACAGGCAGCAGTTTCCAAGTGCATAATTAATTTAGTCAATATGCTTAATAGTTTAGTGTGTGCTTCTAAGATTCCCCTTTTCTGGGCTGGAGAGATGGCTCAGCAGTTAGGAGCACTGGCTGCTCTTCCAGAGGACCTGAGTTCAACTCCCAGCACTCGTGGTTGCTCACAACCATCTGTAACTGTAGTCCCGTGGGATCCGATGCCCTCTTCTGGTGTGCAGACAAAACATTCATATACATAAATCTGTTTTAAAATTCCCTGTCTCTTGTACAATACAACCACATAAACTGAGGATTCTACCTGTTACAGCTTTCCAGTTTTGGAGTCCGAACCCAGGGCTTCCTGATGCTAAGTTCTACCACTGACCTATATTCCCAGCTGACCTAAACATCCCAGTTAGAGATGGTTGTGAACTGCCATGTGGGTGCTGGCAGCTAAACCTCCATCCTCAGAGAGAGTAGCAAGTGCTCTTAACCGCTGAGCCATCTTTCCAGCTCCGCTTTTTACATTTTTAAATTGCCCAGGCTCACACTGAATTCACTCAGTAGCCCAGATTGGGCTTGAACTTGTGATTATCCTTCCTTAATTTATAGAGTAGCTCGAGCTACAGGCCTGTGCTGTCAGGGTTGGCTTTTTTTTTTTTTTTAAACCCTTGTTAGGTAATCCAGGATGGCATTAAACTCATGATGTAGCTCAAGTTGCCTTCAAACTTGTCTTCCTGCTTCAGCCTTCTGAGTGCTGAGATTGAATTTGTGTGCCACCATGACTAGTTTGAAATGTTTAATTCAGATATCAAGATTCTATTTGACAGAAGCTCTGGGTATACTGGGATTCGGTTATGTGGATCTTTTCATTGTGGAGCCCAGGCTCCTGGAACAGGCTTTATCTGAGTTTACTAGAGAGAGAGAGAGAGAGACAGGCTGACTCAGGACTAGGGATCGTGAACTTCTGTTTGGGTATGACAAATGGCATGTGCATGTCACATGATCTCAGACAAGGTAGAGACATGGAGGCTCTTGGAACTAGATGCACAGTCAAGTGTCAGGCAATGGGTAGAAACACACAGTCCTGTTATATCCAGTGAATAATAACCCTACCTCACACATTAAGCCAAATTAAACCACTTTTGACCTTCATTTTGAAGGGCACAGTTGGAGAGTGTTTGCCTAGCATTTGTGAAGCCCTAGGTTTCACGCCCAGCACCTCACACACTGGGTGTAGTGATGCAGTTGTGAAGTCTCAGCACTCAGGTAGAAGCAGGAGAATCAGAAGTTCAAGGTCATCCTACATAGGAAGTTGGAGGCCAGCCTGGACTCTGCTGTTTCCACTTCCAGGCCTGATGTTTTTGCTCTTTTGGGGGGCCCACCACTCAGCTCCCAAATAAATCACACATGGAGGCTTATTTTTAGTTATAAATGCCTGGCCTTAGCTTGGCTTGTTTCTAGCCAGTTTTTCTTAACTTTATCCCATCTATCTTGGGCCTCGAGGCTTTTATCTTTCTCTATTCCTGTATACTTTTTCTTTCCTTCTCACTCCATGTCTGGCTGTGTAGCTGGGTGGCTGGCCCCTGAAGTTCTCTTGTTCTCTTGTTCCTTCTTTCTTTCCTCCTGGATTTCTCCTTCTGTATCTACTCTCTGCCTGCCAGCCCTGCCCATCCTTTCTCCTGCCTCGCTATTGGCCTTTCAGCTCTTTATTAGACCATCAGGTGTTCTAGACAGTCACAGTAACACAGCTTCACAGAGTTAAACAAATGCAACATAAACAAAAGTAACACACCTTAAAATAATACTCTGCAACACAGGCCCATCTTCCCTTCTTTGAATCTTTGCTTTTGTTTTTGTTTTTCAAGACAGGCTTTCTCTATGTAGCTTTGGAGCCTGTCCTGGAACTTGCTCTGTAGACCAGGCTGGCCTCAAACTCAGAGATCTGCCTGCCTTGTCTCCCGAGTGCCGGGATTAAAGGTGTGCACCACCACCGCCTGGTTCCTTCTTTGAATGTTTTACCTTCACTCCCTTTTCATATTCACATCACTTTCCTTGATTTGGTGTTATTTTTATGTGTTCAAAGACTTACTTATTTTGTGGAGACGGTCCCACTGTGCTGCCCAAGCTGGCTTCAGACCCTGGCATCAAGTGATAACTCCTGCTTGAGGGCCCCTCCCCCTCCCCCCAGTGGCTGGGATGCAGGCACCTTCCACTTTGTTCATCTGTCAATGATGTCCCTTACTTTCCTTATTGCGACCCTTACTGGATGTTGCTGGAGTTTCCTACTTAAGCATTTGTCTTACAAGTAAGTTCTGGGGGCCGGGAGCAGTTTAACCTAGTCCGCTGTTGCGTCCTATGTGCCTAAAAGTGCCTTACTCATTGAAAGCATCCACAGGTGATGAATGGTCACGGTACCATCTGTCTGTAAACTCCCAAGTCATGGAGCTGCTTGGCTGCAGAAGTGGGGAACGCTGAAGGTGGGCATTCTACCTGGACCACACCAACCATCAGCAGTCACTATGCCGTTCCTATACTGTTTGTCCCCCGAAGGTTTGTGTGGGGGAGGTTTGCTCCCCAGTGTGATGGTACTGAAAGATGGTAGCTCCTTAAGAGCTAGTGCCTGAAGGAAGACGATTGCCTGGCCGTTCCTGGGGAGTCTATTTCTGTTCACCCCAGATAGAGAGGAAAGGATTGAAAAGATTCTGTTCAGGTCCAGCTTGGTGAAGGCCTGGGTGACTCCAGGAGCTGCTGTCCACAGAAGGCTCCTTGGACATAGTTGAGAAACGGACCGCATTCTGATGCCGTCCCGGGAGCAGCTGACTGGAGGGGTGACTGGCCGGCAGGTGGGTGGGGCAGCTGGAGTTTGTGGCGGAAGGCCACTTGGATGGACAAAATGCTGCTCCCCAGCATTTTGCTTGTCTTGGATGTAGAATTCTGAAAGTACAAGGGGGCTGGCCTAAAGGCCAGTATTGAAAGCTCTGAGTCACCTTCGGACGAATTTGGCTAATAATCTCATCCCGGGGTCAAAATCCCAGACTGCTCAAAGAAAACCCTGGGCATCTAGAAGAGGCCGCTGGGAGGCAGCAGAGCTCACAGGTTGCTCCTGACCCTATCGGGTCTTGGTATGTTATGCCACCTCATATTTTCCCTCTTACTGTGTATTAACTGCCGTGGCAGTGTTTTAGGAATCCAGGCTGACTGTAATCAGAATTAGACTGTGCGCGTAGACTCTGTTGGCCATTGCCTCCCAGAATGGTGCTTATTTTTTCCTGCCTGAATCTTACCTTATTTTTCTCGCAGTCACTTCCAGAAACCTCTGGCTATCCCCAGCGAGGATGTACAGCCAGGAAAAGGCTTTCACCAGGGCACGCCTCGCCTCGCCTCCCCGGAATCCTGGGGCAGTTTGACCTTTTTGTGAATGGCATTTTGGATCTCAAAACGAAAACCACCCCCGTGGTTCCCGCACCTTCCTCAACACGGCAAGGAGACCGGTCCGGGCCAGGCGAGGCGAGCGTAGTTTCTGTGGCTGGGGGCCTGCGGGCAGGTGACAGAAGGCGGAGGTGGAGGCCGCGCAGGGCCCGCCCCCGCTGCGCTCTCCTTCACGGGAAGTGATGTGGGGCCGGACGGAAAATACCGCCAAGCACCCAAAAAAGGCCAGTCACTTGGGGTCCCAAGCTTCGTTTGGAAGGGAGTGCCTAAGGGCTTGAGCACCGCAGGGACGCAGCATCTCGAGGAACTGCAGCGACGCAACAGCGCGGGGATAGCTCGAGAGAGACGGAGCACCAAACCGGGTGAGCGCACGGCGTCCTGGGCGGTGCAGGTTGCCGGCGGCGCTCGAGCCGGCCCTGGGGCGACCAGGGGACAGCGGATCGGACGGGATGGATGACGGCCCCGCTAAGTTCCAGGGGTTGGGGTCCAAGGTTACCCCAAGTGAAATCTAGGTGCCAGAGTCCTCACAAGGAGACGAGGAGAGTAAGGTCCACTCCACCCGCCTCTTCTTCCCTCGCTTGGGTTTTGACTTGGAAGTTTTTAGAGCCCCACTGCTTGTAAGCGAGAAAGGTTTCCTGTCATTCGGAGAACCCAGCCGGTCAGCCAGGTCTTCGAGTCACCCTAACGGAGGTAGAATTGGTGCGATGACACATTTTGGTCACTCTGCCAAGGGCGGGTCTCCGGCCCGGTGGCTGGGTACCGATTTGGAAAGCCTGGTCTAAAGTGTAGGAGATCAGCAGACCGCGCACTTTGGCACCTTGCTGTCCCGGGAGTATTCTTCACGGGAGTATTCTTCACGGGCTCCTCTTAGCCCAAGGGCTAACAGCTGTTCTGAGTTAGCTGTTCAACCCAGCCGGATGAGTGAGGCAGGAGGCATTCTTTAATCATTTCTTTAAAGCTTTCTGTTAGAGTGAAAACAGGATGGGAAAGGTAATTCCTGCATTTGGGAGGTGGACAAAGGATTCAGGGTTCAAGGCCAGCCTTTGCTACACAGTGAGCTTGAGGCGAGCCTGGGTTACATGAGACCTGCCTCAAAAAAATAAATAATACCAGCAAAAAGAAAGGCAGAGAAGCCGGGCGGTGGTGGCGTAAGCCTTTGATCCCAGCACTCGGGAGGCAGAGGCAAGCAGATCTCTGTGAGTTCGAGGCCAGCCTGGTCTACAGAGTGAGTTCCATGTGAGAACTGTTTTCTGTATTTTCCCTTGGTCTCCCTCCCTCTTCTCACCCCCACCCCATGCTTCCTTTTCATAACCTGGCATAATTTTTGCTGATTTATTTCTGACAAATTTGTGTGTGTGAATGAAGGCCCATATATGTGCATGTGGAGGACAGAGGTCCATAAGTGTCTTCCTCACTAGCCACTACACATGCACGCACGCACGCACGCACACACGCATGCATAAAATAATTAAGTTTGCTTTCTGTTTTTGAGATGGGATCTCACTGTGTAGCTCTAGTTGGCCTGGAATACACTAGACCAACCTGATCTTGAACTCACAGAGATCTGCCTGCGTCTGCCTCTCAAGTGCTGGGATTAAAGGCGTGCACCACCTGACTGTTGTTGAGACCAGTTTCTCACTGAACCTGGAGCTCCTTGTGTGGACTGGTTGGCCAGTAAGTCTCAGGATCCTCCTCTCCATCCCCAAGCATTAGGGTCACATACCTGCACCTTCACCCCCCAATGTGGGTTGGGGGACCCCAAGGCTTGCACAGAGAGTACTTTGCCCACTGAGCCATTCCCCAGCCATTGTTTTTGAGTTTATGAGACCAGGTATCACTCTCATACCCAGGCTGGCCTTGAACTGGTGACAATCCCACTTCAGCCTAGGAAGTGCTGGGATTATAGCTGTGTGCCACCATGCCCAGCAAGTTGTTTGAGGTCATGAAGATTTGTGCTTATGATTTTTTTGTTTGTTTTGTTTTGTACACCCAGAATTCTTACAGTTTTGACTGCTCTGTTTCATTCTTTGTTTTTTGTTTTTTTCTTTTCTTTTCTTTTTTTTGGTTTTTCGAGACAGGGTTTCTCTGTGTGGTTTTGGTGCCTGTCCTGGATCTCACTCTGTAGACCAGGCTGGCCTCAAACTCACAGAGATCCACCTGCCTCTGCCTCCTGAGTGCTGGGATTAAAGGCATGCGCCACCCCCCCACCCCCCACCCCCGGCTCATTCTTTGATTAATTTTAAGTTAATTTTGTGTGTGGTATTGGGTAGAAGGTCCAACTTTATCTCCTCAAATGTGAATATTCACTTTTGGTAGCATGTTTGTTGACAAGACTACTTTGACCCTTTGAATGATCTTGGCACCTCTGTTGAAAATAAATATAAATGTGGAGTTTGTGTCTGGATTGGCAGTCTTCTGTATACCATACACCTGTTGTTACAGTGGTGGCACCCTGTCCGGGTTATTGAACCCATGGGGGTTTTGAAGTCAGGGCATGCCAGGTCTCCAGCTTTGCCCTTCTTTGTTATGGTTGCTTTTGGCTCTGCAGGGCCCCTGTGTCTCTGTGTGGAATTTCAGACCAGCTTCTCAGTCCCGTTGCCTTGGCTTTAGAACAAATGTAGGCGTGTTGCAGTGGGTGGCAGTCTGTGGGAAGCAGACTTTTAACTTCCTTTCCTGACACCCGCCTTCCCTTTGCCTTCCCCACCTTAGTGAATAGAAACTTCACTCCTGCCGAAGCTCACACTGAACAACCCTGGAATGGCCCTCAAGCCTCCTCTTCCTTTCCTGTCCTTTGCCCAGCCTGAGCAAACGTTATTGAGTCTACCTTGAGTATGACGAAATCTTTTTGGTTTACAAACTTTTTAAGTGGATAGAGAAATGGTTCAGCAGTTTAGAGCACATACTGCTCTTCCTGAGGACCCAAATTTGAGTCCCAACACCCATATCAGGCAACTCACAACTGCTTCTAACTCCAGCTTCAGAGAATCCAATGCCCTCTTCTGGCCTCTACCAGTATTGCACTCATGTGCACAAAACCAAACACACACACACACACACACACACACACACATAATTAAAAATAAGTAAATAAGCTTTGTAATCGTTACATTTACTGAATCAGGTGGTTTAGTGGCGAAGACTATTTGCTGCTTTTGCAGAGGACCTGGGTTTGGTTCCCAGTACCCACATGGCAGCTCATTAACTGTCAATAATTCCAGTTCCAGGGGACCTGATGCCCTCCTCTGGCCTCTGCAAGCACTGTACTCATGTGCTGCATGTACATACATGCAGGCAAAACACATACACATGAAATAAAAATAAATCTTTTAAAAATACTAAATTTTTTTTGGTTTTTCGAGACAGGGTTTCTCTGTGTAGCTTTGGTGCCTGCCCTGGATCTCGCTCTGTAGACCAGGCTGGCCTCGAACTCACAGAGATCCTCCTGGCTCTGCCTCCTGAGTGCTGGGATTAAAGGTGTGCGCCAACACCGCTGGCCTGAGTCTTATTTTGTACGGAGTTGGAGGCAAAACCAAGTGGAAGACTGTGGCTGAAAGTGCACTTGAGTTACTGGATAAAACTCAGGATCCTCTGTGACCAGCGGTTCTCAACCTTCATGATGCTATGACCCTTTGATACAGCTCCTCACGTTGTGGTGACCCCCAACCATAAAATGATCTTCATTGCTACTTCATAACTGTAATTTTGCTACTGTTAGGAATATAATGTAAATATCTGTGTTTTCTGCTGGTCTTAGGCGATCCCTGTGCAAGGGTTGTTCGACCCCCCAGTGGGTCCCGCCCTATAGGTTGAGAACTGCTGGTCTAGTCCATACCTTTCTTAGCAAACATCTTGTTATAGACCACCATATTCTACTGCCGCCCACTGCCGCCCACTGAATGGGGAATTGTGAGACTTCCCAGTGAGAATTGAATTAATTCGGCCTATAAAGTATGATAACTAATTTTACATGTTAGGAATTATTTTAACACAGTATGGGGTATTTATATACACACATAATGCCTTTCCCAAATAAAATCGAGTAGATTTGGAAGACAGAACAGGGCTTGCAGGTGAAAGTCTGAGCCCCTGAGAGGAAAGCCCGCTTGCCCTTGTTAAAAGTGTGATTGGCTCTTGAGGAAGTGGCTCTTCTCTTCATAGGCATTCACTCCATGTGCCTCCTGAGATTTGCTTAGACTATGTTTGTTCCTCCGCCTGGTGATCAGGAAATTTGAGTTGATGATCCTCCCCGTAAACTGATTACCCCGAGAGCAGACCCTGGAAGCCAAGATAACAGCTTTCAGTGAACACGATGTCCTGGGGTGAGCATCTAGCTTGCTAAGGCCTTCCAGAGTGGGGACTCAGGGGTATGCCTATCATTTCTCTTGTATGATTGGGGCCCAATAATACACTGTATTTATTGTCCATTAAAATTGAGTGTCTGGCCTAAAAGGGATGGGAATTCTGTTCTTTCCTCTTCCCTCCCTCCCTTTCCTTGCCCTCTTCCTCCTCCTCCCACGCCCCTACTCTTCTCTCTTTCAAATTGAATCTCTTGTATGCCAGGCTAGCCTGGAACTCACGATGTCGCTGAGGATGCCCACGAACTCCTGATTGTCTGCCTTCTGCTAGGATCCTGGGTGTGTGTTACCATACCTGCATGAAAGTCTAAATTGAGGATGGGGTTTCAGATTTACCGAATAAAAACAACTGAATTTTTCTTTCTTCTTTTACAAGTCAGGGTCTTGCAGGGTCTTGCAAGGTCTTGGTCTCCCCGACTCTGCCTCTCATTTGCAGTGTGTACCATCATACCTCATTCCAAAATGCAGATGTAACCAGTTCTAGTCCGAGGCCGTGTTTATACACAGGAAATGCATGTTAAAGTTCCCAGAACGGTGGAGCTGTGGCTTGGTAGCTCCACACAGAGGAGCTCCACTCAGGCCTGGTCTCCACACAGAGTTTGTTAATGGCACCAGAGCTAGAAGCAAGTGGGAGAACCACTGGTTTTCCCCGGAGAGGCTGAGTCTGTCCCAGTTATACAGACTCTGGGTGAGTCCAGAGCTGAGACCAGGACACGTGGCACAGTACCTCTCTCAGGACATTATGCCCAGGGTGGGGTGGGGTGGTACTTACCGCACTTCCAGAGGACCTGGGTTTGGTTCCCACCACCCACATTGTGGCTCACAACCACCCATAATTCCAGCCACAGTGGATCCAGTGCCTTCTTTTGATCTCCTCAGGTACAAGGTGTGCCTGTGGTGTGCATACATACATGCAGATGAAACACTCATACAGTAAACATTTAAAAGAAAATCTGTAACTCCAGTTCCAGGGGATCCAGTACCACCTCCTCACTTCCACGGACATG